GAGAAAGAAAACATGCTTTCTGGTTTTCACGCTTCTGTGTTTTGTAGATCCCCTTCAAATTGGTATCTAAATGGGTAAGCTCACTTAGGCTTGATTTCAACTGGGACTAGTAATTGCAAGCCAAAGTGGAGACACTTGGGGAAAATGTCTTTTTTCTTTTTCAAGAGCTGTAGAAGTTTTGGTTAGGTTTTTTTAAAAAACAACAACAGCACACCAATCAATCGAGCCTCCAAACCCCATTGAGTCACACCATTGGTCCATCTAGCCCAGCCCAGTACAGCTAAGTGGCAGCAGCTCACTGTAATGTTTCAGGCAGTGGCTTCTCCCACTACACCATTCCTGAGCCACAAACCTTCAGTAGCAATGGCCATGCTGCGTCCTCTCCCTTTCCCTCCTTTAAAATGGCTGCTTTGGCCACATGGCAAGGGATGAAAGGGAGGAAGCCACATGTCTCTGCCTCCCCCCTTCAACCATTTCCAGAATTCCCGGTACTAAGGGGAAGGGATAGTCATCACTGCTGGAACAGTACCCTGAGCAACGGCTCAGAGGATCATGAGGTCAAGGATTTGGAGGAGGCATCGGGTGGGGGAATTGCCCTTTGCACCAATCCCAGATGACTCCACTTTCTCAGAACCCCCTCTTCATCATAAGCCCATCTTGCTACCACTTCCTGAGCCTGAAAAAGTCGTGCTGCTATCCTCCGGGTCCAACTACTCTGGCCCAGAAGACATGATCTCCACTGCACTGTTAGCACCAATAGCTGGTGAAGCCACAAGTCTTCTCCCAACAGAGGCAGGGCTAGGCACCCAGAACAAACTGAAGGCTTATTTTGGTATCCACCTGAAGCTGCTGTGTTACGGCATAAACATCTGAGCCTGCTGGCATGAATCTCCAGAACAATCTGGGGTTCAACTTGGAACTTGAGCTTTGCCTTCCTTGATTTTGCCTTACTAGAACCTGAACTTTGCCTTCCCAGAAGCTGAGCTTTCTGTTATTTGACTTTGCCTTGGTAGAACCCAAACTCCTGTCTAGAACCCCCTTTTTGAGCTGAATCACCATCTAGCTGAGACCCAACTTGGGACAAAACACTGCCAAGTATGTGGGTTGGTGAATTGGAGGGAGAAGAGGAAATAGTTTAATCCAAGCCAAATAAGAGCCTCACCCTAAGTGCTGCAAGCCAAGGACTTGCAAAGTTTAGCAGAAGTGTCTTGCTGGGTGAGGTAGAGCTATTATGCTAGCTTCCTGGTGGGTGGGTTGCTTATAAGGAGAGAGAGAGAGGTTGGCATGATGCAAACACATTGGCAGAAGCACTGGATTGGTTCCACCAGTGAATCTGCACCATGACAACCTCCCCACTGCCTTGCCCAACATCAACAGCAAACCACCTGCTGCCCAGCTAGCACAGCTACTCTGCCCAGTGGTGTGCCACTTCTGAAACTCAGCAACATCTTCTAGTTTGAGTTTGTTAAACAGGAAAGGTGGTGTTCAGTCCTTTCAGAGAACCCAGAGAATCTCAGTCTGGAGGCAGCAATGCTTCTGAACACTAGTTGCTGGAGACCACAGGAGGGGAGACTGATCTTGCGCTCAGATCCTTCGTGTGAGTTTTCCACAGACATCTGGTTGACTACTTTGAGAACAGGATACTGAACTAGAGGGGCCATTGGCCTGATCCGGAAAGCTTTTACATTCTTAGTTTTGTTTTAATGTATATTGCAATCTTCAAGAGTTCAGAAATGTTAGGAAAATACACAGGTAAGAGCCCATTTAAGTTGTAATTCTCAATATCAGTGATTGCCAGTCAGTAGAGCGGGGATAGGGAATCTGTTCATAAAGCTGTTGTGATCACCAATAGTCAGCATGGATTTCTGAAAAATAAGTCATGTCAGACTAACCTGATCTCGTTTTTTGACAGAATTACAAGCCTGGTAGATGAAGGGAACGCAGTGGATGTAGCCTACCTTGATTTCAGCAAGGCATTTGACAAGGTGCCCCATGATATTCTTGTAAAGAAGCTGGTAAAATGCGGTCTTGACTATGCTACCACTCAGTGGATTTGTAACTGGCTGACTGACCAAACCCAAAGGGTGCTCATCAATGGTTCCTCTTCATCCTGGAGAAGAGTGACTAGTGGGGTGCCACAGGGTTCTGTCTTGGGCCCGGTCTTATTCAACATCTTTATCAACGACTTGGATGATGGATTCAAGGGCATCCTGATCAAATTTGCAGATGACACCAAACTGGGAGGGGTGGCTAACACCCCAGAGGACAGGATCACACTTCAAAACGACCTTGACAGATTAGAGAACTGGGCCAAAACAAACAAGATGAATTTTAACAGGGGAAATGTAAAGTATTGCACTTGGGCAAAAAAAATGAGAAGCGCAAATACAAGATGGGTGACACCTGGCTTGAGAGCAGTACATGTGAAAAGGATCTAGGAGTCTTGGTTGACCACAAACTTGACATGAGCCAACAGTGTGACGCGGCAGCTAGAAAAGCCAATGCAATTCTGGGCTGCATCAATAGGAGTATAGCATCTAGATCAAGGGAAGTAATAGTGCCACTGTATTCTGCTCTGGTCAGACCTCACCTGGAGTACTGTGTCCAGTTCTGGGCACCACAGTTCAAGAAGGACACTGACAAACTGGAACGTGTCCAGAGGAGGGCAACCAAAATGGTCAAAGGCCTGGAAATGATGCCTTATGAGGAACGGCTAAGGGAGCTGGGCATGTTTAGCCTGGAGAAGAGGAGGTTAAGGGGTGATATGATAGCCATGTTCAAATATATAAAAGGATGTCACATAGAGGAGGGAGAAAGGTTGTTTTCTGCTGCTCCAGAGAAGCGGACACGGAGCAATGGATCCAAACTACAAGAAAGAAGATTCCACCTAAACATTAGGAAGAACTTCCTGACAGTAAGAGCTGTTCGACAGTGGAATTTGCTGCCAAGGAGTGTGGTGGAGTCTCCTTCTTTGGAGGTCTTTAAGCAGAGGCTTGACAACCATATGTCAGAAGTGCTCTGATGGTGTTTCCTGCTTGGCAGGGGGTTGGACTCGATGGCCCTTGTGGTCTCTTCCAACTCTATGATTCTATGATTCTAGACTGCCACTCCCATCATCCTTGACAATTGGCCAGGCTGTATGGGGTTGATGTTGAGAGGAGGGTCCAACCACATCTGGAAGGCCACAGATTTCCCACTCCTGTGCTTGAGGAGAAGCTTCCTGAGAATGCAACAATTCAGCTCTGGGGCAGACTACCAATAATTGGCCCCAAACACATACTCATATGCCATTTAGACGAAGTAGAAAGGGCCCCAACTGCAAAGGTTTTGAATTTCAGTAAAGTTTTGGTCTGGCATTTTTAGTTTGCAAATTCAGCACTGAAGCTGTCTCCTCCGCCTCTCACATCTTATCCAGACTCTGAGTGACATTAAAAAAATCCCACCTGCAATTTCCACTCTCAGTACTTTAAAATGTCAGGGAAAGTAGATGGTCACACTAATTGTGGCCAGCTGTTACACTAGTTCCCAGGATATGAGAGTCAGGGTCCGTGTGACAAATCATCAGCATTTCAACCAAAATCTATAAACTGAAGGAACACTCTGGTTGAAGCTATACTACTGGCATAACTGCTCAGGGGAAATCAGCCCAATCGATAGTTTTAACATTAAGCAAAGCAGAGCAACCACTGACATTCAAAATAGGCAAATTGATTGAAATTGGTGAACATGCATAATGCATTTATTGCAAGGTTATTCTCTTTTATCGCAGTAAACATGTTTGTGTGTGTCTGTAAATGTCATTTGCTTTGTCTGCGTATTTTCTGGTGCGTCTAACAGCGGCTTGTGTTTCGCTGATAGATGACCGTAGCTCACAATGTCAAAAATGTGGGTGTGGGTGTATTGGCTTTGAAATAGCACTCGAATATAGCGAGGCTAGTTTGGGCTTTGAAATTATGTAGTTTTTATTGAACAACTGTGTGAGAGCTAGCAGGTTGTAGCCCAAAATGTCTGGACAGCACCAGGCTGGGAGACAGGCTGGCCGAGAGGGTAAGCTGTGAGATGAGAACAAATTGCTACTTGAAACCCCAGGTACATATATCAGCTCAGCTCACCACGTCCCATCATTTTTTGATGTCTATAATACATGACTAACACTGGGCTATTACAAGGCTGTTGCGAGAATTGCTGAAAGTATATTATGTGCTTAGAAACCTAGGAAGCTGCCTCATACAAAGTCGGACCCTTGGGTCCATCTAACTCAATATTGTCTACACTGACTGGTAGCAGCCCTCCAGGATTTCAGACACGGTTCTCTTCTGATGCTACCGGGTGATTTTGGGGGTAGAATTTAGACCCTTCTGCATGCACAGCAGATATTTTGCTACTCAACTATGATGGCTTTTTCCTCTCAAATATTTTTACGTAGCCCTTTTTCTACACACAGCCCTTTTTCCAAACAGAGTTCTGCTTTGGAGAAAGATAGAAGTAATCGTACCAGCCCAATCCTTTTTAAAAAAATGCTGAATGCTGCTTCTGACTCCTGGAATCCTCCCCTCAAGTTTTAACATAGGGGAGGAAGCAACGTTCAGCCAACGCATCACCCAACTTGAGAAGTTTCATTCTCACCCTTCAGCCTCACAAATCCCTTCTGAGGGGCTGTAGTGGCTGGTGAAGGCAGAGACCAACGAGAAGGAAAGCCAACTAATTCTGGCGTCGTTCCTGTTGAGTTCCACAAAGGTGACACTGAGACTGAAGAGGAGGAGGAGGAGGAATCTGACAGGCAGCTCCACCCAGAAGAAGGCAGGCGGATGGGGCCTAGCTGAGGCCTAGCTGAGCTTGGTGTGGCTGCATTCAGGCTAATGGGCCAGCCTCCGCGGCTGAGAACCTGCTCAGCCTTTTAAACATTTTTCTTCCGATCCTTGAGCCTTATCCCTGAAATCATATAAGGCAAAACATTTCAAGGGTATTTGAGCCACATTTGTTCCTTTTATTTTCCAGAACACGTGTGTGTGTGTGTGTGTGTGTGTGTGTGCGCGCGCACACACACACACACGCACACACATTTCTCCTCATAGCAACAAAACCCAAAAGGTCTTGTATGATACACAGCCGCCAAGCTACCAAGTTAAAGCTGACAATGCTGCCATCTGTTGACCAAAACAGGATACTTTTAATCCAGAGCCACTCATAGAATCATAGAATTGTAGAGTTGGGAGGGACCCCAGGGGGTCGACTTGTCCAACAAATCTCAGCTAAACCATTCACAACAGATGACCACCCAGCCTCTGCTTAAAAGCCTGCAAGGAAGGGATGTCCACCACCTTCTGATGGAGTCTGTTTCACTGTCAAAAAGCTCTTACTGCCAGAAAGTTCTTTCTAATGTTTACTTATCATCTCCTTTCTTGTAACCACTGGTTTGGATCCTAGCCTCTGGAGAAGAGGAAACAAGCTTGTGCCGCTTCAAGTAACAGTCCTTTAGATATCTGAAGGTGGCTATCATATCTCCTCAGTCTCCTCTTTTCCAGCCTAAACATTCCTAACTCCTTCAACCGTTCCTCATAAGGTTTGGTTTTCAGACCCTTGATAATCTTGGTTGCTCTCCTCTGCACACACTCAAGCTTTTCAACAACCTTCCTAAATTGTGGTACAGTGGTACCTCGGGTTACAAACTCTTCGGGTTACAAAACGCTTCAGGTTACAGACTCCATTAACCTGGAAGTAGTAGAACTTTACCTCAGGATGAGAACAGAAATCGTGTGGCGGCAGTAGGAGGCCCCATTAGCTAAAGTGGTACCTCAGGTTAAGAAAGGACCTCCGGAACGAATTAAGTTCTTAGCCAGAGGTACCACTGTACCCAAAATTGGACACAGTATTATTCTAGGTGTGATCTGACCAAGGGAAAATGTTCTGTACTTTATAGAGAAACATTAATCTCTGTGTCCCATTTGTTCAGATATAAAAACATTTAAAAGTTATATTCAGATTCCCTGTGGAAAGCACATTATTATCCTAATTCTTTTTTTAAAAAAAAACCTTTTAAGCCATTTTGGAAGCTGCATCTTATCAGCTGTGTGTGCATTTATAATCCATTGTGCCTTATCTGCTATTTTACTGCGGTGCATTATTTTATGATTATCTAGCTGCTTTCGTTGCTCTTCGCTTTCTTTCTTTAAAAACTTGCAGTCTATCCTGGGAGGGCATATGGTGCAGGTTAGAAATTAATACAATGAACAAATAAAGAAACAGGCAGAAAAAATCCAAAAGCAAGGAAGACGAGCAGAGGTGTGTTCATGTACAGACATTAACAGAGAGAGAATAGGAGAAGGAATAGTTAATGAAATCATGTGAGTTTGGTTTCCAGGTTTGTTATCAGAAATGAGAACAACTAAGAAGGAAAGCAGAGCAAATGCTTCTTTATCAAGCAGAGATAAGAAATAAAACAGCAGCATAGTAGGGTTTATCGAGACTGTAGGTGGAAAATATAGGGCTGCAATTGGTGCTGGTCCTGCTCAGGCCTCATCTGCACTATACATTTAAAGCAGCATCATGCCACTTTAAACTGCCATGCCCCCCCCCCCAATATTGGGAACTGTAGTTTATTAACTGTAGTTTATTAAGACCCCTGTTCCCTTCACAGAGTTGCAGTTCTGAGTGGTTTAACTGTCAATCATTCTGTCTGTGGAAGTGCTGCTGGAGACTGTGGCTAAGAGTGCCTAAGGCTGCACTAGGGATGGCGAAAAAACTCAATTCAATTTGGATTTAAAGGCAAACATACCAAAGGTGCAGTTTCTGAAACAACACTTAAACTGAAACGCAGCCACCCTTCAAAAATTCATACTTCCCCAAATTTTGTAATGCCGTTTCTTACTCTAGTGTGCATACAAATGTATATATTAGTAACAATAACATACAAAATACATTATACAATCATGTATATTAGGCATAATTGTGTCTTATAAAAAAAACCAAAATGGATAGAATTGCCCACACATAACTGATTTATCAGCTACGGTCAGCTCGACCATGGGTCAATAAACCATGCACATCCAGTCAAATCCAAGTTAGACTTACCTAAACACACTGCACATATAGCTGCCTTTGAAGATAGTGTTGAATGTTGCTGCTTGGTTGCTGGTGGGAGCAATTCCACACCAGTTAAACTTGTTATTACCAGGTACATTTTGAAGTGCTGCTTTCAACATTTAAGGGCCTACGCAAACAGGTGGGGACTGGGCTATTTGAAGCACCTGCCTCAGAGGCCCTGCTCGTGTGAAATCAATCCAGTGAAATCATGTGAAATCAATCCAGTTTCAAGGCACAAGAGACAGGGCCTTTTCTGCACTGGCTCCCAGACTGTGGAACTCTCTCCCTTTTGTAGTACAGGGTCTCTTAAAAGTTATGGATTTTTGAATGGCTATTGCTCACCCTCATCTGCTCCAAAACTATGTCAATGCACCTGTTCAGGGGTTCCACAGCATCTCCATGCTTTATGAATGAAATGAGAGGCAGGAGTGGGCATTGTCTGCATGACACTGAAACCCAAACCTCCAGGTGACTCCAGCAGTTTCATGTAGGTGCTAAAGAGCAATGTGGACAGAATAGCCTACTATTGAGGCACACCACAGACTCAAAGGCATGAAGCAGAGCTGGAGTATGTACCACTTTCCTAGTACCATCCTGTTCAGCAATGTCTATACTGACTGGAAGCAGTTCTGAAGGGTTTTGGGCAGGAGTCTTTCCTTGCCTTCCTGGAGATGTGGGGATCAAGCTTGGGGCATTCCGCATGCAAAGCAGAAGCTCTTCCACTGACCTACACCCCTTCCGCAATAGCAGCGTTGCTGCCGTGATATGGAGAAGTTGGATGCCATGACCCAGTCACGTTGGACTGGAGTTGCAAGGCAGAAATGATAGCTCCCAGGAAGTTCAAAAATAGCAAGTATTGATGTAGTGACAAGGAAGATCACTTAATGTACATGTCCTTCCGCTTCCCCTACCAGCAGAAACTCATTGCAAATAATCAAGGCTTCCTGGAGTTTTGGAGGAAGTGGGGAAAGGGCTAAAATCCCAAACCAGTATCTGAATTTTCTGCTGAACAATGGAGAACTAACATGGCTGTTTGAAGGCGGAAACATGTCAGTTAGCTTAAGCTGGTGATGTCTTAAAAATAAAGCTTTAGAACATCAAAGGGAAACTGACAATAGCCTGGTTGTGTCTCAGATAGCTTAAGATTCTGTTTAAGTATTTCTTGTTCCACTGAAAGATGGTTTTGAAGTTTAGAACCAGGCTTGTATTTGAAAGGTGTAATCCTTTTATACTTTAGGAACACAGATTTAGTAATTGGAGCTGGAGTAAATGTAGGCATAAATGTCTCATTTTTGTCAGTTGTTTTCCTTTAATAAAAGAAACCACAATCTGCACTTTTGATGTAAGCCTACTTCCCACCAGTTCTCTGAAAACAATAAAGAGACCCCATTTTTTCATAGCTGATTTCCTGGTAAAGAGAGCACAGAATGTTTGAACACAGACGAAATGGTTTCTTTAACAGTTTTTTCATTATTTCTTTTCTGCTTCTTTCCTTCATTACTCTCTCTTCTCTCCCTGTTCCCTCCCTACAGTACTACAGTTATAAATACAGAATGATAGGTAAAGGGGACCCCTGACCGTTAACTCCATTCGCAGATGACTCTGGGGTTGCGGCGTTCATCTCGCTTTACTGGCCGAGGGAGCCAGTGTACAACTTCCGGGTCATGTGGCCAGCATGACTAAGCCACTTCTGGCGAACCAGAGCAGCACACGGAAATGCCGTTTACCTTCCCGCCGGAGTGGTACCTATTTATCTACTTGCACTTTGATGTGCTTTCGAACTGCTAGGTAGGCAGGAGCAGGGACCGAGCAACGGGAGCTCACCCCGTTGCAGGAATTTGAACCGCTGACCTTCTGATTGGCAAACCCTAGGCTCTGTGGTTTAACCCACAGTGCCACCCGCATTCCTTATGCAGAATGATATTCTGCATTAAATATGAGTCTTTTTGTTAACTCCTGAGTCTGTTTGTCCAGGAGACAATTGTTATTGATAGCTTGTTGTAAATGATCATCTTCTAAACTCAGGACTATTAAATCAAGGTGTTTGGGGGTCATTAGTCCTCCCCCCCTTTTTTTAAGTAGTGTCATGTTTGCAGAGCTATTAACATTCTGTGAAAGCCAACTCTCCAGTTCCTTGATGTTATACTGCCTCCTGTCTATCAGGCTGAAGAGGGTTGATGGGAACTATAGAACCAATTAAAACAAGACCGTAATGATAGACTTTGTTCAATACTCTATTAAAGAAAGCAGAGCGGCTGCCAGGCCTGTAGAGATCAAAGATTTCTTTTCATTTTGCATGCAATTCCACTTCTGTAATTGCTTGGAGACCATTTGGCTGCAAGCAAATGCTGTCTGTATTAGCTTGAAATGTCAGCAGCAATGACATCAGAAATACACAAACATTCAGCTTTAGGTCAGTAGGACTCTCAACAAATGTGCTTACTTATGCAGCAGGTCTTCCTTCTCCAACTTAGCTGTTGGATTTAAACTCTCATCCTCCCAGCCAGCATTCAAGGTCAAAAACTAATGGGGTGGTCAAGCAATATTATATATGTATTTTACCCAAAGAGGCAAAGATTGCCAGCATGTACAAAGTATTCCTATTTATTTATTTATAAATTACACTGGCTTTGAGGATAAGCATTCAAAAGGCAGCTGACAACATACCAAGGCATGCCAAGGCTATAAAATGCACCAAAGCAAACATAAACTCACTAACTAGACTAAAACAGGAGTGGGTAGGTCCACAGTACCTTGGGGGTTAATCTGTCAAGGGGCATATGCTGGTAGTGGGTGGAGTCAGAACCAAGAATGGATGATGTGCCCCTTCTCTGTTTCTCTCTCTGTGTGCGCTTCCTTTTCTCCCCCTCCTCATTATACACATGAAATTAGCCATAGGTTAATTCTCTAGTTCATCAGAGAATACCACCCCAAGAACAATTTTAAACTGTACAAATGTCGTATATATTAAATCAGGGACGAGGAACCTCCAGCCCAGTCCTAATTAGGCCCATCAGGGATCCTAATTCAGCTCACAAAGTAGTTTTCCCGAGCCACAACTACTTGTGTCACGCTTGGTGTCACATAGGACCCCGGTTGTGCAGGAATCTCTGAACAGTTATGGAACAGAACTCCTCTCTCATTCCTACGCACAGCTTTGTGAAGTGTGGCAATGGTGAGGATTGCCTTTTGTCATAGTGATGGGCAGTGCTTTTTTTAAAAAAAAATGTTTAGGGTTACTCTCATTTTCCTACTCACATTGAAATACTGCCCTGCAATGAGACCTAACTTAAGATTCACAAAATGTTTAGGGATATGGGTACCCCTGCGTACCCCCAGGAAAAAGCACTGGTGATAGGTGAGATACCTTCATCCCCATTCCTGTTTGGCTCAGTCTTTCTGAGCTTCCTTGAAACTTTGGACAAAGCTCAATGTTGTTGTTTGCTTTGGTGTGTGTGTGTGCATTCTTTTCAAGTTATTGTCCTCTGGGAGTCATAGCTTGTAAGTTATGGCACACGATGACACTTTTCAGTGTGTGTGCACACAGACGCCAAGCCTGACCATTGGGCTGGGAACCTCTGGCCTTCCAGATGTTGATAGACTACAAATCCCTGCCTGTAGGTCATGCTTACTGGAGCTGATTATTACTATTATTATTATTAATTACCTGCCTTGAGCAAACTACAGTTCCCAGGACGTGGGGTGGGTGGGCGCCTGCGTTGGACGTGCTTTAAAAGCATGAGCCATAGACAGCCCATTCTCTTTCCGGGCACAGCGTTACTCGCTGCCAATCCAGCAGATGCCGCCCTCGGCCCGCCAAAGAAACGCAGCTCAGGCGCTTGGCTTCTCCGTAGCAGCGAGGCTCCACCTCTTCCCTTTCCCCGCCTGCAGGAAGGAAGAGCCGGGCGCGGGGCGGTCTTCGGTTCTTGCTGCGCGCCCTGCGCTCGAAGTATGTTTGCCCCGATCCCAGCCGGTTACTTTTGCTTCCTGGGTGGGCGGGGGGGGGGGTGGCTTTGCCGGTGCCGCTCCTGAAGCCTCTCCAGCGGAGAAATAGACCAGGAGTTCCCAAGGGCAGGTGCCTTGCTGCCCACGCGGCTCTTGCCGAGGGGAGGGATCGGATCCTGCTCTTTCCCGCATCCTGTTCCCATCGCCCCGTGGGAATTCGCTTCCCCGAGTTAATGGGAGGGCACGCAATGCCTTAGAGCAGGCTTCCTCAACCTCGGCCTTCCAGATGTTTTGAGACTACAATTCCCATCATCCTTGACCACTGGTGCTGCTAGCTAGGGATCATGGGAGTTGTAGGCCAAAAACATCTGGAGGGCCGAGGTTGAGGAAGCTTGCCTTAGAGACCCAGCCAGACCATTTGGGCGTCTAATCTCTAACTGGCCTCACCAGCCTTTCCCAACCAAGATGTTCTGAGCCATGGCTAAGGGTACCCAGTTGAGGAAAGGTGGTCTATTCTGGGCTGCTGCCCTCAAAATACTTGCAAAATATATCAAGGATGCTCCTGAGGCCTTCTTGTCTTCTGTTGTTCAAGGTGAAGGGGATTAAGATTGGGCAGCTGGTTTATAAACAGAAGTGCTGTATTACTATTTTTTTAAAAAAATTAAACAGCCCAAGACTTGCTTGGCTAGGAGAAAGCTACCCCTGGTGGACGTCTGCCTCCTAGGCAGCTGTTAATTTATTGCTGGAAGTTACATATAAAATGTGTGAGAAGAGAACTGTTGCAAGCCACCCTGGTGGAAGAGTGGGTTAAAAATGCAGTTAAGTAGATGAAATGAAAAATAAAGTCAGAGGTGCATGGAGTCTGGCAAGTCTACTGTAAGTGACAGTTAAAGTTGCCCTGCATGCAAGTGACAAATCTTCAAAACAGAGATGCTTGCTTTATTGTGCTACTTATGTTTATGTAAACAACCCATGTATTGAGCAGAACTATTTATGGTTGGTTCCCAGGGCAGGGGTTGCTTGTTTATTTGTTTAGAACTCCAGAATGCAGGAAATGGTGTGTGGTATATTTCTTGCGGGTGGCATAATACATCTTTTCCATTCATACGCACATTTTAAGTCTTGGCCTTGGCATAATAACTCTGCTGTAGTGGTTAGAGCGTTGGAGTAGGACCTGGGAGACCAGGGTTCAAATCCACACTCAGCCATGAAGCTCACTTGGGTGACCCTGGGCCAGTCACAGTCGCTTTGCCTGACCTACCTCACAGGGTTGTTGTGAAGATAAAATGGGAAGGGGGGGATCATGCCTTGAGCTCCTCTGAGGGAAAGCACCATATATGTGCAATAATTAAATATAAATCACTAACTTAGGTGGTGAGAAAATAGAGTGAAGCTGACATGGGGCAACTGCTATTTTTTTAAAGTGAGAGATTTTGGCTAGGAACAATTGTACAGTGGTACCTCAGGTACCACTGTACAATGGGACACAGGTGGTGCTGTGGGTTAAACCACAGAGCCTGGGACTTGCCGATCAGAAGGTCAGCAGTTCGAATCCCCGTGACGGGGTGAGCTCCCGTTGCTCGGTCCCAGCTCCTGCCAACCTAGCAGTTCGAAAGCACGTCAAAGTGCAAGTAGATAAATAAGTACCGCTCTGGCGGGAAAGTTCGCTCTGGTTCGCCTGAAGCGGCTTAGTCATGCTGGCCACATGACCCGGAAGCTGTATGCCGGCTCCCTCGGCCAATAAAGCGAGATGAGCGCCACAACCCCAGAGTCAGTCATGTCTGGACCTAATGGTTAGGGGTCCCTTTACCTTTACCTTTACCTCGGGTTATGAACACTATGGGTTATGAACTCCTCTAACCTGGAAGTAGCTGCTCCTGGTTGCAAACTTTGCCCCAGGATGCGAACGGAAATCACATGCTGGAGGCCCCATTAGCGAACGCACGCCTCAGGATAAGAACAGTTTCAGCTTACGAATGGACCTCCAGAATGAATTAAGTTCATAACCAGAGGTACCACTGTATCCTCTTTCTGGTCTTTATTGCTGATAAGCCCACATATCAAAGAAATATGGCATCTAGGTAACATTTTAATTTCCAGTTAAGAAAACATTACATTCTGTCTGTCCTACCCTTCCCCTTTTATGTCTTTCAAAAATGAAAGACAAGCAAATGACCATAAATATGGTAATATCCTAGAAGACAATGCAACCAACCTAACTACATTTACTAATCAGATATCTGCCAGTCTTTTGAGGTGTTCGTCGCTACAGTTCATCCTTTAGGCTGCACTCCAGTACCCAATTTCCTGTGAATAAATCCTGTTGAACACACCAGGGCTTACTTCTGAGTAGACATACATAGGATTGTGCTTGTGTGAGTCAGATTTCCAGTGCCAGTGTTTCAGTAGCCTGAACTACTTGCCACTTCTAAAAGCTAACAAGCAGAATGAGTTACCCAAATACATATCGGCTCACTTGCCCCTCTCCCCAAAAAAAGTGTGTGACATATTGCATGGTTCAACTTTTCTTTATGCAAAATTTGGGTCACTTTGGTCCTGGTTTTCCTTTTAAATACATGTTATGTGCAGTCATGTCATGCTGAGATGAACAGACTTAACTTTTCTGACACAAGAAATGAAATCTGTACAGGATTTAAAGCTGTACAGGGTTTAAATTGGCGCAGCTGTTGGACGTAGCAGTTTCAGAGCCAGCCACTCATGCACGCTTGGGGATTTGCATGCATGCGATAATTGATTACATTTACCATCAGAATTAACTTGTGCAGAAATGCAGGGTAAGGCTGAATGTTGAGGCAGAACAGAGTTTCTTAGAGCCTCCATTGCTTTAGATTTAAATCCCAAGCATTAACATACAGCAACCACTTAGAAGATGAATCAGATTTTTCTAGCAATGCTAGGAATTATAGAAATCATAATGGTGAATGAAAGTCCACCACTCTGTGTGGTTTTTCTGTTTTTATGAGGGACAAAAAGTTGACATTTGGGTGAGGAATCCACCTCTCTAGTCTGAGGGAGAATGTCAGAGACTTCTGATGTCTGCATAATCTAGAGTAGAGCTTTTAAATTGCCTCAGCGACTTTGTTTACTAGTAAAATGCTACTTTCTGCAGTTTATGCTGAAGGAGTTCTTCCAATTTGTTACGAATTTGTTCCTCTTTTCTTAAACCAAATCCCTTGTTCTCATCATGGTGGCTGAAACAGATTAGCAATCTGAACCCTTTCTGCCATTAATCTATTCTCTCTTTCTCCATCCCCGTTAAGCACAGCCAAGACTTCGTAACCCACAATTCCACTTCTCAGGAATGTGGTGGTTTTCCCATAAAGCTACAGAACACGTTCCCTTGCCAGGGTCATGAATTCCTGAGAGGCCCCATGTTGGTGTTTATTGTTTTGCAACAGTGGCAATCAGCTGGGATGGAGGAAATGTTGCTTAGAGGAAGGATTAAGTGTGTAAAACAATGAGAACTTTTGCCACTGGGTTAATTGCATTTGTATTATAGTGTTCTGGCACAGCAGATTCCCTTAATATTTTGTGAGGTATCCTGGCTTCAGCCACCAAGAGTGGACGAAAACTGCCCTTATCAGCTTCTTGCCTTTATGGCCCTGTATTGCCTTTTTGTCTGACGGAACTTGAGGAGGATACTCTAGGACAGGGATTCCCAAACGGAAGTCCATAGACCACCAGTTGCCCGCAAGCTTCATGCAGGTGGCCCACAGCATCTGTGTAGAAATGCAATTAAAAATCATACAGTATCTAGCATAGTGCATTACAATACCTATCACAGGTTTTAAAAAAATTAAAACGAGCCTCAGCAAAAACAATGGGGGGGGCAGGTGGGAAGTTTGGTATCCACTACTGTAGGAAACATCTTCTGTGATGTATGTGTGGGTGCATATCCCTGCAGTTATCATCTAAGGTCCTTTGTGTGCCTCCACGAGTGGTCCAGAGGGCGGCAATACGAAAACAGGCCTTTTCTTCAGTGGCTCCCCGTTTGTGGAATACTCTCCCCTGAGAGGCTCACCTGGTGCCTTAGTTACATACCTTTAGGTGCCAGGCAGAAACATTTTGTGAGTAGCCCAGTATACCTAAAGGAGCATCTCCACCCCCATTGTTCTGCCCAGACACTGAGGTCCAGCACCGAAGGCCTTATAGCGGTTTCCTCCCTTTGAGAAGCAAAGTTACAGGGAACCAGGCCTTCTCGGTAGTGGCTCCCACTTTGTGGAATGTCCTCTCATCAGATGTCAAGGAAATAAACAACAATCTGACTTTTAGAAGATCTCTGAAGGCAGCCCTATATTGGGAAGCTTTTAATGTTTGATGTTTTATTGTGTTTTTAATATTTTGTTGGGAGCCGCCCAGGGTGGCTGGGGAAACCCAACAAGATGGACAGGGTATAAATAATAAATTATTATCATTATTATTCCTCTTCTCCCAGGCCTTTGACTAATTAGACAATCTATGGCCCTTTAAACTGTGAGGGTTTTAGTTTTTGTTTGTTATTATGCTATGTATTTTTTGTGGTTTTTTATATTGCAGTTTTATATACTGTGATCTTCAGGTGAAGGGCAGTAAAGAAATTTAATACATAATAATAAGAATCCACATGGGACCAGATATATTTTCATTTACATTAGGGATGGAAAATCTGTGTTGTTGGATTTCCATCAGCTCCCACCCTGGATTTATAAAATGAACTCAGACAAGCAGCACCCCCAGTTCATATAGTGACGGAAATCAAGAGGTCCTGCACACAGTGGCTTCAACAACCAACAGCTGTTCACAAATTGAACTTTTGAGTCCACAGTTATGTTGGCTCCCGTCAAGCTGCCAGTTTGTCAAAATGCAAAATGAAAAGGGGAAAACATTTGCCCTTGTCTGAAACAGCTCTGCATATAACTGGGGCAGTTCAGAGGTGATTCTTTTTGATTTAGGCAGTCAGTCTATTAATAAAGATATTTGGCCAGCTAAGCTTTACACAGAGTAGAACCCATTGAAATTAATGGACCTAATTTAGTGTTCATTAACTTCAGTTGGTCTACTCTGAGTCAAACTTAGTTGAATGCCACCCTAAGAATAGTCAGGAAACAGGAAAGACAAATACAAAAGACTCTGTATCCTACATGTGGGAAAGGGACCTTATTATACTTATAACAGCGACCTTGCCAGAGACCAGATGTGTCATATTAAAGAAATTCAGTGAGCATGTATAAACTATGAGAGACATGGACAAACTTTAAAAGAGCTGGAGCATGGGATACAGAACGGTTTGGGACATACAAAATGGAACTGGAGCTTAATGTGCTACAGATCTGCAGGCTCCAAGGGCAGCAGCGTCTCTGCAGTCTTCTGTTAATAATCACCGCCAGCTTAGTATTCCTGTAGGTTTTTTCTGCTTCCCTTGAAAACTAGGGAGAATGACTGTAAATACCATCTCCTTAGCATCTTTGGGCCTGAGAAATTTCAGATCTTTTCCCATGCAAGTAGTAGTCTGTCGGCAAGGGTGTATGAACTTCCAACACCTTTTGCGGCAAAGGGTGAGTGAGTAATGATCATTCTCTCTCTCTCTTTCTCGCTCGCTCGCTCACTCTTTCTCAGCTGTACAATTGTGCTAGCTGTGCCTTTGTGCTGCCTTGTAGTGGTGTCCTAATTTGCATTTCAGATGAATGGACGCAATCCTGTTATCACTCATCTCCTTTCATTCAGATCCACTGGGCTTTAGCGATGGAAAAAATCTTGCTGCAAAAGATAATTGGAGTTCCTGCTTGCACCCCATGTGGCCAGTATTGCACACCCCTCATTATTTGTATATATGGGCACCCACTCAGAGTTAGGCCCTGGTCAGTTGGGCGATTTGAGTTGCCACAACTACGCTGTAGTGCACTTGAGAGTATGTGCAGAACAGAAGGCCTGAATGTGGAGGGCATCAAATCTTGTCCTCGTTCAGGGCTCCACATTACCAAAGTCCACCCCTTAACCTTGAACCTTCTTGCGTTTTAAAGATCAAAACAAGCACCTTGAGTTGAATCTGAAAACCTAACTGGCTACAGGCTTAATTTTGTACTCGTCTCTATGTAAACATTTGATTTCTTCACCTTTTTATTTTCCTCTTGTCTTTTAGTTTGTATCGGTCGCTGGTGCACATTCCCATAGATCATGGTAAGATCCTTTCTATTTATTGATGGTCTTTGGCATGTATCAGTTTGGTATTCAAATTGTGTGCTGTGGTACCTAAATCCACATTAATATATTGTTGTTGTTCGTTCAGCGCTTTTTACGAAACCTCTCGAAGCACCTTACGAAAGGTTAAAACACAGGAGAACCTCTGTATTTAGAATCCATTGTTACTAAAATTGATATTTACATATGTATAGGCTACCTTGTCAAAGGCCCTCTGAAGTGTGAGAAAGGAGAAGAAGCCAGAATAGCCTGGATCGGATCCGTCTACCACACAGCTCTCAGTAACTCTGGCCAAGTTGGCTGATCTCTTGCCCAATACCACCATAGGGCTACTTACAAATCATATCGCCTTGTGCAAAGGAGGTGATGGGGAGAAACACACAACAGAGCAGCCTGTCAAGATAACCTGATTGAGGAGGCAGGCATGAAATGAGCAGGCAGGAGCATCTATCTCAGCTGCTAATTAGCTGGTGACAAGCATAGAAGGCAGCAACTTCAAGCACAAGTTGTTGCTTTTTAACCCCAGTGGCATATTATTTTGTGTTGCAGTCCTACTACACTTGATTGCCTGGTCGTAAGCACTTTTGAACTCATTGGGACTGTATATATATATGAGAGAATAATTTTGTAGAGTATTGTTGTTATTTTTGTGGGTGATCACAGTCACATTTTTAATTGAGAGACGATTTGTGTGTGTGGGTTTAATGGGGAAAAGGGATGACCAGTGAGTCCTTCCGTAACAAACAAGCATTTTAAAGCTTTGTCTCATAATAAAGACATGTGCTCAGATTGCTTAGAATGGTTAAGCATAAAGAGGGCATCATGGCAGATTTGGAGGAAAGAGAAATGGGGCGTGAGGCGGGTGGGCCTTTGGGACCTAACAGACATTTGTTGGATTCTGTCTCTGTGTTTATCCCTACAGCATTTGAGTGGTGCTGCAAAACACAAATGCCTCTGGGCAGCTGGCAGCGAATAGTTGCAATACATGGATAGCAGTTGGTTATAAAGTCCATGGTGCTGATTCTATGTGAAGAAGTGCATGCGCTGCTGAGAAGAGTTGAGTCATGTAGGTGGCGTACCTGTATGTAGAGGAATCAGAAATATAGGAGGAGGAAAGACTCTGAGGATGGATAAAGCCCCCTCCTATATTATCAAGGAGAAGTTGAGCTCAGGCAGACCTGAGGAAGCCCAAACCTTGGAAGCCCTAACTGAGGAATCTTCCTCTCCCTTCACTCCATTGAGGCCATTTCACAGGTTTGCCCCCCGTGTAGAATTGACAAGAAGCTTCAGACAACCCCTATTAGGAATTAGGAATTGTGTTTGCAAACACTTGTTTGTTTGCAGCTCTGTTCCACGCATTCATGTGTCCCCCTAAATGACACTTGGCTGCTTCTTGCAGGGTAAATAAGGAAGCAGCTGAGACTAGGAGTGGGAGCAAAATGCTATTTTTGGCATAAGAAATGCACAGACCTAAAACCATGAGTGTTATGTTGCATACATCTTAAGACATGAGATTCTCGAAATAAGAGGTCTGTGAAAGGTAGCACTGCAAGCATAATACACGGTATTACCTTGGATCACGAACACCTTGCAAGTTGAACGTTTTGGCTCTCAAATGCCGCAAACCCAGAAGTGAGTGTTCCGGTTTGCGAACGTTCTTTGGAACCCGAACGTCCTCCATGGCTTCCGATTGGCTGCAGGAGCTTCCTTGGTTTTGGAAGTCAAACGGACTTCCAGAATGGATTCCGTTGGACTTCCGAGGTACCGCTGTATACAGCTCAGGAAGGCCATATGTTGTGATGAAGAAGATGGTGGTGATGATGATTTGGGTTGTGCCCAATTGAGTTCCTCCACTGATGGAAGGCTCTTTGATCCAGTGGAAGCTTCTATGAGCCAAAAGGAGAGAGGAAGGCGATTTCTGCATAGTGCCCCTTTCTCTGTGCCACCTGCCATACTGTTCCCCAATCTTCTGGAGCGGATTTTGAGAGGGAACTGCAGAGGAAAGAGGTGGAAAGTGAAAATCACTTTCCAGTAACAGAAACCTCATCTGGGTTACAGAGCCAGTGAAGAGACCCAATTGGAAACAGCCTGATGATGGTGGTGATGTGTAATACAATTGCTTCAACTGATGCAATGTATAATACAATTGATTCAACTGGGCTTTATAGTTCTCTCTCTCTCTCTCTCTCTCTCTCTCTCTCTCTCCCTCTCCTCCCCCTTTTAAATGTTTTTAAACACCTAGGCTTCTTCTTAACATTCCCTACAGCATTCTGAGGTTTCCCAGGGTCACTTCTACCCCTTCTCCTCCTCCCCTTCCTCCTCCGCCCCTCATTCCCCCTAAAAGAAGTATTTGGCTAAGCATCAGAATCACAATTCTGACTACTTGAAACGATCCTTTGTGTTCCTCTCCTAAATTAACAACAGCTAGGCAAATCAGCCAGCTGTATTCCACTTTCTTTGCTGCAGTCGCCACCAAGATCCGCTTGAGAAACAGTTTGGTTAAAAAGAACAGCTGATAATATTTTGCACTTCAGCATTGCCTTGCAGCGGAGCAGGAGTGTGTGTGTGTGTGTGTGTAAACAGCCACTCAAAACTGTTAGAACTATTGGTGATGTATACTTAAAAATTCAGTGAGTAAAGCTAGCAAACCTTATTAAAATATAGTGCAGTTGCTTTCAAAATGGATACTGTCTTGACTTGGCTATGTGACTAATTCAGAGCTACATAGGTAAAGGTAGCACGTTAGGGAAAAGGTTAAGCTAGTGGACATTTGATGTGGGTCACTTTCAAATGCACAGCGATCCATGTACTTTTTGAGATGATAAAATTTTGAGATGCAATTCTACCAGATGCTCTGAATGGTACAATCACCACCTGGCATTTTATTTTCATCCAGAATGTGGTATACCAAACCTGGAACCGAACTGATTCAGTTAGATCCAGACTTGGTAATACTTAAGAGTAGACCCACTGAAATAAATAGGGCTTCTACAGCTAAGGCTGCAGTCATAACAAGGAAGTAAGCCCCATTAAATTAAACAAGAGTTGGCATGGTTAGGACTGCACTGTAAGTCCTGATGTTCCCAATATTATTTTCTGAAATTTTAAATATATACAAAATTGTGAATGCGTGAACTTTTTAATTTTAAAAGTTGCATATAAAAATAATTTGGAGCTATTTGCCCTTGATCTTAAAAGCTGGTTTCCAAAGGCCATTGGGAGCAGTCCAGTGCCATTAAAATAATGGGAATGTTGCCATTGACTTCAGTGGGATGCATATCAAGCCCATTGTTACGGCTCCGCCCCTCCCCCACCAAAGCCTTTCAGAGATGGGCTGGGAGGGGAGGGGGAGACTTCTACTTGTATTCAAGTATGTCTGACACAAAAAAGTGCGTCCTATTAGTCCATGGGAACCAGAAAGTGAAACTAGCCGTAAACAAAAGGAGACTGACCTCTTAAGACTCATTGTCAAAACTGAATGGCAAGAGTAAATACAATTAGGCTTTTGGAATTCATTTATTCTTAATAGTTTAGGGCGGAATACTCGCGCGGCAGAAGTCAATCCTGTCAAATTCTGAAGCGTTCAGGATTTTGCCTCCAAAATGTATATTCATAAAGCACGGAGACTCGGGGCTGCTTCATGACCTCAAGTTAATCTTGACAGCTTTTTCATGTTGAAATAAGAGTGCAGTGTTTCTCACCATAGTAGTGAATTGGGGGTTTTTGGGGGGTGCCTAGTAGGGAGGGGGTGTCAGTGTCTTGGTTCATGTTGCCTTCACTTGATGGAGGAGCAGGACACCCCACACACAGATGACATGGCATGTCGTCTTCCATGCCAACGCTAATAGTTTGGAGGACTTGTTCACATGATTTCTCTCCTTTGAAAAAGAGGGAGAGAGAAACGGTATTCATGGGGGTCTCTTCAGTTAGAGACCCCCAGGTCATCTGCATAGTGGAGGGAAGAGACACTAGATAACGTATAAACTGGGATTGCCTTGCTAAATCTCTTGTCAGCTTAAATGCTTGAGGGATCTCTACACGCCATTTAGCTCTTGCCCCACCGCTGTTTAGCTATTTGAGCATCCTTTTCGGCTTAAGCAAATGGGTTGAGTTTGTGCAACCAGGTTCACAAGTGTGTGTTGACTGAGAGAGATTAATGCTTTATTGAACTGTTGCACGTTGTATCTTGCTGATTAGAGATGGGGTTTTCCACAGGCAAAGGAGGTTGCACATCTGATTGATTCTTCTCTGTTAACAAATGCTGGATTTAATCGTAGGTTGCCTTGAACAGAAGAAGGTGGCCAAGGAGCAAAAGGATACCCTAGTTACATGAGTGATTCTCTTCTGGCTTGGGTGAATCAAGGGAAATGCTCTCCCTTACTTTAAGGATAGAGTTATAGTAGACACAGAGCAAGCACAACCTGTGGCCTTATCTCTTATCCACTTGGAGCTACTAAGCTACCCGATTTCAGGCTCCTGGGGACTTCTGTCAACTTAGGTGATCTTAGGATTGGTGCAAAGCTGCCAGTGCCTTATAAATCAAAATATTTTACCAACCACCTTAATGTGATAACCACCTAAGAGCCATGTGCTTGCAACTAAGCTAATAGTAGGGCAGAAAGTTGCATCGCTTTCCGAATTAGTGGCAGGAATGGGCTGCATGAATTAATTGGGAGCTGGAGGACATGCTGTAGAAATAATTGATTTTTTTATCTTTGCCCATGTTCTTAGGGGGATTCAGTGCCTCAAGAGAAAGGACCATGGTATTCCCAAAATGTCTATGCGAGATACTGGAAGCATTACAACCAAGCCATGGAGTGGATGAGCAGGCACCGATATGCTTACAGGAAAGCCATGGAGTCCTTGTACAATCTGCCATTTCCTCCTTCTGAAAGTCTTCCCAGTGGACGCTACTCTGATTGGGATGAAGGGGAGACCCTGAGGACCGGGTCCTATTCTGCTTTCACACAAGGGAGCCAACCCAGGCTCCCTCCCAGGTCTCAACATGCCCCTCATAATGCCGCAGGCAGAGGGGTCACGGAGAGCGATTCCGAAACAGACACCGACTCCGAAGACGAAGCGGATATCGAGTGTGACTTGAGCAACATGGAGATCACAGAAGAGCTCCGCCAGTATTTTGAGCAAACAGAGAAGCACCGGGAAGAGCTGCGTAAGTGCCTTCGACCATGTTCCCCATGTTATTAATACAGCTACTCCCTTCTCTCTTTCTTTGATCTATAACATACATACATACATACATACATTTAGCGATCGCTTTTTGGCTGCCTTTTAGGACCAAGCCCTCACAAGCCAGCTTACACACATACAAAATATTAAAATGGCAATATTTGATGAAAAATGCAAATCTCAATAAAATACCATGAAAAACAGCACTGGAAAGTAAATAACAACAAGATAACAATAAAGCGCTAGTAGCAGCTCAGCCCAGAATAATAACTTTTAAAGCAAATTTTGCAATTCAGTAGCAGGTCAAACATGTCCAAGGGGCATACTTTCAAAATCCCACCTCGTCTGAGCAGCTTGGGGTGACAGAATTTGAATCCAGATCTCTCTAGTCCAAGGGTTCTAGCTCACTTAGGTTTTACTCAGAGTACACCCACTGAAATGAATGGGCCTAATTTTAATTGGTCTACTCTTAAGTACAAGTAATATTGGATTCAAGCCCCAGATCGTGGTTATATCCACACCATACATTCAAAGTGCTCTCGAAGCACTTTTAACAGTTATTGGGTTGCGTTCAATGTAGCACTAAGGTGAATAATCTGCCCCCCTCTCCTCCCCATGTGCACACCCCTAAATCTGCTCTGTGTTTTCCCACAACCGCCGGGAGCAGTTAGTTGAATGCTGCCCATAGCATCCCCCAAAGAACCCTGGGAGTGGTCATTTGCTAAAAGTGCTGTGAGTTTTTCGGAGAACCTTCACAGAGTTGCAATTCCCATCTTTAAATGTGTCACGAGGATGTTGACCTATATCTGCAACACAAAGCTGCACCTTTGTTTAGGTTTACATGCAGGGCAGGGCATGTTAAAGGAGAGAGGCAGAGAGAGGCAGAACTGGCCTAGTGGGCTTTTCTGGGAGGAAAAACCCTGCCATTAAGAAATCCCACCCCTTCTTGAAGTCTTTGATCTAATGGCACTGGAATTCAGAATCTGAATTTGTGCACCTCTATCAGTCTACCACTAAAAGGAGCCCCATGTTAGTTCATTTCTTTTTTTCTTTTATGCCACCCCACCATCTACCTTACGTCTTTTTGCTGCCTGCAGAACTGCTTCTTCAGTTTGTTTACCATGGCAGAAATATTCCTAGAAAAACCCCCTTCTTGAGGGTCTTCTGAGAGCCAGTGTGATGTAGTGGTTAAGCGTGGTAGACTGATAATCTGGGGAACCGGGTTCACGTCTCCGCTCCTCCACATGCAGCTGCTGGGTGACCTTGGACTAGTCACACTTCTCTGAAGTCTCTCAGCCCCACTCACCTCACAGGGTGTTTGTTGTGGGGGAGGAAGGGAAAGGAGAATGTTAGCTGCTTTGAGACTCCTTCGGGTAGTGATAAAGCGGGATATCAAATCCAGACTCTTCTTCTTCTTCTTGGCTGAGCCTGAAAGCCATAAGGTGCTGTCAGTGTACTTGTTCATACAGTGGTACCTGAGGTTACGAACAGTCCTGCTTACGAACACTTCGGGTTATGAACTCCACAGACCCGGAAGTAGGTGTTCCGGGTTGCAAATTTTGCCCCGGGATACGAACGCAATCCGCTTCTGGGGCCGCGGGAGGCCTATATAGGGAATGCACGCCTCTGGTTAAGAATGGACTTCCGGAATGAATTAAGTTCATAACCTGAGGTACCACTGTATAGACATATGAATCTGGCACTTTTAAGGTTAAGTTTAGCAGATAGTTGGAGCAGCCCAATGGAAATTCCTGGCTGTGTTGTTGGAAGTCTGGAGGAAGCCCTGACGTAACCTATAATATGGATCAGCCATTTGCTTTTCTTTTCTTTCTTTCTTCCTTTGGCTTGATTCCAGGACATCTTTAACCTCTGAGTACTGCAGGAAGTTGGCTTTCTCTCTTTCCAACCCAACTATATTCCACTTTCATAATCGGAACTGTGCTGTATTTGGGGAGAGGAAGCCTTTAGACAAATCAGTAGCATCTTCTCTGTGCAATAGTTTGTTAAAATGCCTTGGGGTTAAAAGGGCTTTCGAGAGTTTTTTATTTTATTTGACTGGCGTAGTTTTACCATGCGAAGAAAATCATTATTCCCTTGTGCGTTTTATACTGAGACATTCACAAAATGCAGCGCCTGTTTTCTAGGCTAACAAGAGTCCCTTGCTCAGCAGCCCTTTCACCCACTAGAATGTCTATTAAGAATAACAGCAGAGATGGAGGAGGAAGAGTGTCTTTCCAACTCCATTATAGCCTAGAAGTGGTGCCCCCGCTCAGCCCCTTGAGACCTGGGTGTGTGGAAGAGATACACCAACACTGCCTTTAATTACATAGAGCTATTGATTTTGCAGAGTGCAGTTTTTTAAGCAGAACAAAATTTCAGGGCGGAATTTGATTAGGCCAAATGCGATAACCGCATTATCGTGCTTCGTCTTTCATTCTCTGCAGAAAACCCCTCGTAATATATATATTGATATTGACGGAACTGTAGACTGTTTAAAAAGATGAAAGAAAAATGCCAGGCATCATCACTGTAATCTACAGTTCTCCTATGTTCATTGGCTGGAGGAGGTGGGGGGTTGGAGAGATAGTCTGAAGCAGGGAACCTCCTGTGCTTGTAGAGGAATCCTTGCACATTTTATAACCCTGGAAAAGCTTCTAAAAAGGCAGGAAGCCTCTATGATCACAGGAGCCAAACTCATAGAGAGTGATGAGAATGGCAACTGGGGGTGGAGCTTAATGCACCTGGCCGTGGAGCCCTTCCCCACTTCTTTACTTAACAATAAGAATGACTAAAGAGGGTATTTCTCTTTCCGTTTGTCCTGTTCTTTCAAGCCCTCAGCCTATTTTTCTCGGTCTCAATCCACAGTCTCTAGCCTCTTCACTCTGCATTCATTGATTTTTTATTTTTTTATTAATTTTTATTAATTTTTAAACATATTAATTGTCATACATACCACAGAACTTCACATCTTATACAGTCTTTTTGGACTTCCATCAGCACCTCTGATGATCCCCCATTTTTATCATTTCTTCTGCATTTCTTAAATTTATATTGCCTTTAATTATCTTAACTAACATCCTCCTCTTTATCCAATTATGCAATAATTCAAATTATTCACCTCACAAAACTTCCAAACCTACAAATGTAATCTGGTCATCACAATTACTTTTCAAATAGACCGTAATTTTACACCATTCTTCTGTGAATCTCTGGTCCCGCCGGTTTCAAATTCTTCCTATTAGTTTATCTAATTCTGCATAGTCCATCACTTTAATCCTCCAATCATTCATTGATTTTTAGTAGGACACTGGCACTGGCCTGGTTCAGCCAACCATGGTTTCCTCTTAAAAGAATGCACTTCTGCTTCTCAACTAAGCACAGTTCCCTGTAGCACTAGAACTCAGAAAGTTTACTTCTAAGTGCAGTTAGGTGATGGTTATCAAACCATGGTTTGAAATCATAGTTTGTTGGCTAACTTCAGCTCCTACGTTTAGACACAGTGGAGAACTGGGATTAGTTTGAAAGTTGAAGTTGGAGCCTGTGGCAGGGGGGAGCTATCTGTAATCCCAATGAGGGCAAATGCTGGGATGAATGCTGGTTCTTTTGCATCCCTAAAATCTACCCCACCCTCTTTGTGCAACTTACCACTGCTCATTGCCCACTTTCCTAGTATGCAAAGTGAGGGCAGTCCAGAAATTTTAAGGTGCTTTGACAGGTACTGAGGCCTGTGGAGCTTGTCATCTTCACCCTGCAGCAAGACCTCCAGACCAAATCCAGAGTTGTGGACCTCGTTTGGGGTTTTCAGGAGACAGTGGGGGGAAACTATCTTCCAGATTAATTCCCAATCAGATTTAATTCTGATTGGGAGTGTGGTGGGTTTGCCCATTACTAGTGATGCGTTGTGACTTAATACATGGTTTGCTGTCTGTACCCATGGAATGTTCTGGAAAATCCCAAGCGGTTGATAGGTGTGGTCAAGACTGAATATAATCCTTTTTTAAAAAAACTACTTCATATTCTTTGGAGTCAAGGGTAAGGAAAAAAGAACAATAATTGGCCTTAAAATATTTTTCATTCCTTCCTTCCTGCTTTCCGCCCTCACTCCAGGAACCTCTTCAGATTCTGACAGCCTGTGGGCTTCTATACACTGCAGCCTCAGTTCTGTGCGCTGCCTCGACTCCCAACTTTGACAGTGAAGCATTTTTTAAACTGGCAACTCCTGAAACCCTGTGCCTGATTTAGCACTCCAATAAGGATGTGTTGTGTCTCTCCCCCTCCCTCCACCAAACCCACTCTTTTTTCTCTCTCCCTCTCTCTTCAAACAGCTTTTCTTTTCTTTCTTTGAATTCTTCTCAGGTGCTCTCCAACCCTTTGCAATTCACATCATGTGCTAGGCTCCGAGATGGCCCCCAAACTAGCTGTGCTAACCGTGCTTAGCTGAGCTTTTACAGTATGCCAAGTTATTTACATCATTGCGCTGTAGAGAGTCATATACCGCAGGCAAAGTGTGGAAACAACTGTTAGAAAGCTACAAAATGATTCCTTCCCAGCAGACCTCATCCATTTGCTTCTTCTTGTTGTTTTTCCAGTAAGGAAATAAGGCTGCAGTTTTGCACACACTTACCTGGGAGTAATCCCAGTAGAATTCAGTAGGATTTTGAAGTAGACGATGTACATAGCATTGCAGTATAAGACTACATCCGGTGATTCTCCCTCCCACCACCGTATTCAAAATTATTTAATAGCTTACATTATTGCTTTAAATTGGCAACTCTTTCTCATTGTTCCTTGCAGAACTAGTAATTCTAACCTGCAGGAGACTTTTTGTGGTTGTGTTTAAATGACTTCCCAGAGGCTGTTTATGAAGAGCATGAAGTCATTTTTCCGGGTTATTGCACCTGTCAGATGCATCCAGCATTCTGTTGTGAAGCTATTCAGAAATGCTGGTTATAAAGAACACGAGACAGCAAAATAGCCCTCTTAGATTTGCCGAGAAGTTCTTAAAACTGAAAGGAATATAAAACACTGGCAAAAGCTTGCAGAGTTCTCTAATGATGGGTGGCCTCACTTTCAACACATCCATGCTGAACCTAAGAATTTTCTTTGCCTTTGATTTTTCTGCATATTAAATTAAGCAAGATTAAAATCAAAAACATAATAGAAGGCTGCTTATTTGCTGAACAGAAGACCTGAGGCTCCCCTGCTCCATTGCAGTAAGGTAAAGGTAAAGGGACCCCTGACCATTAGGTCCAGTCGTGGCCGACTCTGGGGTTGTGGCGCTCATCTCGCTTTATTGGCTGAGGGAGCCGGCATACAGATTCCGGGTCATGTGGCCAGCATGACTAAGCTGCTTCTGGCGAACCAGAGCAGCGCACGGAAACGCTGTTTACCTTCCCACCAGAGCGGTACCTATTTATCTACTTGACGTGCTTTCAAACTGCTAGGTTGGCAGGAGTTGGGACCGAGCAACGGGAGCTCACCCCATTGCGGGGATTTGAACCGCCGACCTTCTGATTGGCAAGTCCTAGGCTCTGTGGTTTAACCCTTTTTAGTACAGCAGCACCTCGCAGTGCGAGTGGGGCTAACAATTAGGTATCGCTGCTGCTGCTGCTGCTGCTGCTGCTGCTGCTGCTGCTGCTGCTGCTGCTACATAAGGACTTTTTTCATTGTGTTCCTTTCTGGAGCAACTGTAGGTTGCAGGACAACTGAGCCCTGCAGTATATCTAATCTGATCCTTGTCTTGCCTTGTGTCCAGGCTGAACCTGGCTTTGTCTTGCACCCGAGTTGGGCTTTGCCTTGCCTCACCATATCACACAGTGGGATACCCAGAATGTTTTTGCAAATCATGTTGCCTTTCTTTAGTGCATAGCGCTATGGCATTTGTTCTTGATCTTCTCAGTATTTTTTCTGCCTGTAACTTCTGCCAATGTGGGTATCTGCTTTAAAAAAAGAACTAAATAAAATTTGCACATGACTTTTTGCTACCGAAGCCATTGAACAACCACGGGGGGCGTTAATGGCAAGAGATAGTTTGGCAGGAAATTCACCATGCTTTCTTTATTTTAGGTAAGGAAATAGCATGGCCCCAAACACTGTATTGGGCTCAGGCTACCAAATTAATGTAAGAGACAGCGAACAAATTCCACTGGCTGTGCTTTGCAGAGCTGAGATACATGGAAGCGTCATTTCTGAAACAAGCAAAAATTTAAACAGATTGGCAAATGGCTGGGGCAGATGCTATATTTAGGGACTATGGGGAGCTTCATGTTGATGGCTCCTTGCAGAGAGCAGTAGACAATTCTCCTCAGGATTCTGGACTTTCCCACCATCAGTGTCTTTTCTAAGCTTGGCCTTTTTATGGATTTGCTCTGCTAGTGTCTGCAGCTGCCTTAAGGGCCTCCTGTAATTTTTCTTCCCTTCCATCTTCCTTCAGGGGAGCCTGTAAGAACAGCTGTTGGCGAGGGGAGCAAGTGATATTACTGCCAGGAGCACCTCTCAGGAAAAGTCATTCCCTCCCTCTGAGATTTCTTGTCAGAGCCCCACTCTTGGCCCATAACCTTGAAATCCTGTTTCTGTTTCCTGTGCTTTCTCTTTTCCCAGGAAAGTCCAGCTTTCTCCCAGCTGCTGATTTTACTGTGGTTTGGTTTTTATGAGAGGAAGATCGAACTGCACTCTGTTTGGTCCAAACATTTAAGATCCTAGATTAGATTATATCAATTGCCTTTTTCTCATTTGTTGCTTCGCATCATGAGACATTTTATGCTTCCTTTTCTTTTATAGTCATGTATTGCCTTTTATTAAAAATGGAGCTAAAAAGCTTGGAAATGATAGATTCCTTGAAAAAGGAGAAGAAATAAAGAGGCAGATAACAGGCCTCATCAGATATTATTATTATTATTATTATTATTATTATTCACCACCATCCCCTTCCCGAGACCTGGTGGGCTAACAGTTTTACAAGATGTGGAAGAATACCTCCTTATGTTTTTATCCCATTCAGAAGAGACATTTATTTTGAAAAATATTGTGTCTGAGAGTGAGTAAGCGAGAGAGATTCTACATTTTACTGTTAAATATTTTAATCATAGAATTGTAGAGTTGGAAGGGACCCTGAGGGCCATCTAGTCCAACCCCCTGCAATGCAGCCATCCCATAACAGGGATCAAACCTGCAACCTTGGCGTAATCAGCACCACGCTCTAACAAACTGAGCTATCCATGCCCTGATGTTAGCATATATATTTAATGTTAATCTTTAATATCTACCCCCGTGAGGGGGTGAGCTCCTGTTGCTCAGTCCCTGCTCCTGTCAACCTAGCAGTTCGAAAGCACGTCAAGGTGCAAGTAGTGCAAGTAGATAAATACTTCCCGGCGGGAAGGTAAACGGCGTTTCTGTGCACTGCTCTGGTTCGCCAGAAGCGGCTTAGTCATGCTGGCCACATGACCCGGAAGCTGTACGCCGGCTCCCTCGGCCAATAAAGCGAGATGAGAGCCGCAACCACGACTGGACCTAATGGTCAGGTGTCCCTTTACCTTTTAATGTTAGATTTCCCTAATGTTGTTTATCTAATGCCCCCACTATTAGGTGATGCTGTCACAATGCCACCCAGGGGATCTGATCGTGTAGCAAAATGTGCCACAGTCTAAATTCTGAAGCCTGCTATATATATAATCCAGAAATTAAACATTTGGATGCTACAGTGACATTTCAGATTCCAGGAGAGACAAGTGGGAGGCAACAGCAGTCTTCAAAAGCCAGATCCTGGATTCCAGTCAAGTTTAAATTAGAATCTGTTCTAAGAAGAACCAGATTAACATGCCAGTTTACTTTAACCAAAAAGTTAAGTTTATTCACAGAGCAAATGGAACGTAGAATTTCACTCCAAAAATAAACAGAGAAAATGTGAATTCTGACTTGTAATGCTTGTGTTAACTGATTAGAGAGGCAGTTAATTTAACTCTACACCAAAATATCCTCAGCACCAGGCAGCAGGTTTGAGTTAGAAATAAAAAGTCCCCCCTTTGTCCCCAGGGCAGAAGATGTAACATGGAATCTAGGAAGCAGGGCTTTTCTGGTTTGTACCCTTAGCATAAACTTTGCTGTGTATTTATAGGAACTTGTCTGCAGAACTGATGCATGAATGCATGAATGAATAAAATCTTTATTGCTAAAAACTATAAGCCGTCACAATTGGTCACAATGCGTAGAATACAAATAATTAATTTAAAACTGAACAGCAGCAACAGCAAAGCAAACATACAAAAATGCAAAGATCACACCTGGCATGCCCTGCTGTCAGACCAAGATTAACCAGTGGATTCAACATTTTGCATGCACACACAGGAAGAGAAGGTTAGGGATCTGGGCGAAACAGAGGCTGGATACAGACTTTTAGTTACCTGCCGTTTTGTACAAGATAACCTGTTGAATCCCTATCTTTCTGCAACAGATGCTGCCCAGTGGCTAATTCCCATGCCATTCTTAAATGTGTTTAAAATTTGAATCATGCCCTCACTGAAACTTCTCCCATGATGTGCCCACCCCATGTGGTTAAACCGCATCAGATCTTGCCAGCTATTAGCTAAATCAGTTTTGAAGGTAGAATTCATCTGAAATATGTGACAATTTGCCACTTTAAAGTAAAGATAAAGGCACCTCTGACCATTAGGTCCAGTCGTGAATGACTCTGGGGTTGCAGCACTCATCGCGCTCTGTAGGCGGAGGGAGCCAGCGTTTGTCCACAGACAACTTCTGGGTCATGTGGCCAGCATGACTAAGCCGCTTCTGGCAAACCAGAGCAGCACACGGAAACGCCGTTTACCTTCCCGCTGGAGCTGTACCTATTTATCTACTTGCACTTTGACGTGCTTTCAAACTGCTTGGTGGGCAGGAGCTGGGACCGAGCAACGGGAGCTCACCCTGTTGCGGGTATTCAAACCGCCGACCTTCCAGTCGGCAAGACCTAGGCTCTGTGGTTTAGACCACAGTGCCACCCGCTATTATTATTATAGTAATAAGCCCCATATTTGCTAGCTTTTTAATCTCACCCTTCTTTTAAGGAAATGAAACAACACACATTGTTTGTGCCCCTCTATCTCATTTTCACAATAGTCAACTAAAGCAAGCTGAACCCAAGGTCACCCGATGTAGGTTATAGCTGTGTGGGGAACTGGACTTTGGGCCATATATAGTCCAACATCTGTCCATGCGTATATTCAGTTACAAATGTCACTATGATTGCTGCTTTCCTCTCCAGTGAAAATGGCTCTTTCCTTGCAGAAGAGACAGCAAGGTGCATTTGAGACAGGAAGCTGCCTGATCTTCCTCAAATCAGATTTATTTTGCGAGTGTGTGTTTCTCCAAAGAGAGCTGTTACATTCGTTCCTCACTACCATAACTTTGCCCTTCAACTTTTGCCTTCAGTCCCTTGCCAAGTTTAATGTACTTTCTGAATGTAGCTAATTGTTTTAGAATGCTGCAGCGTGTCGCCAAATACAATTAGAAACCAATCTTAAACTTCAGATTTGAACGGAGTTTTTGTATTGGATTAAATAGCGCCGGTAATGGATATTATGATGTTTATCTAATTCTGTCAAACGTTGTAGTTTGAGGTTTATTAGGAAATGTGTTCCAGATGATTCAGAGCTGCCTTGCCACAGGCATCTGAGGACTTTTGCTCCATATTGAGATTGATGGGGAAGCAGGAGGGGAAGAATACACACACACACACACACACACACACACACACACACTGAAAGAGGAGAAAACACCTGTTCCTTCTGTAGTCCAGTCAGTTTGTAGCTGAGCCAAAAGTTTAAGGGCTAGTTTACAAATTGCTGTTTCTACATAAGGACAGCTCCTAGCCATAGCATCGAGAGTGGCTTGTCACTTTGTTCTACACACTACATCTGGATGTGGGAAATGGCTGCCATTTCAGACCGTGTTTTAGGAAAAGGTGTTCCATTCCCACCACCACGGCTGTGTGTTTCTACATTCTCCGGACTCAAGGTGTTCCAGTTAGCAGGGGAGCAAAGGAGACAGGATAAGGTGTCCTTCAGCCATGACTGCTGGTGCCAAACTGAGCAGCCTCTGCTCCCCTTACCTAGCATGTTACGAGATCTTTGAACTGGAGCATATGACAACTGCCGTCTTCTGAAAGGGTACATCTTAAGGATGGGAGGCGTCACTCTGCCAGGCAAATAATTGCACTTTCAATACTGGGCTTCTGCTCTGACATGCCATCATCACCTCTGCTACTGGAGGCAATTTCTGGAGGCTACAGAGCAGCTGCAATGGACCAGTCCATGGTCTTGGGGGAGAGGGGGGAGGACATTAGAGCAAAGACCTTTCGCAGTCCATCATTTTGTTTCCTCAGCATTCTGTTTTTAGGCTGGAGTCATTTCAATGTCTGTACCCTACTAAGAGATTAGTGTGAAGAGAAACTCTTTTCTGAAGCACTCATTTCTGTTGGAGAGTCTTCTGTATTGTCCTGAGCTTGCTAAAGGGTGTGGTGCTGGTAATTCAGTGAGTGTCTTGGGTTTCTGTGATGTCATGGAAGGTCACAAGCGTTTTAACTATTCCAGGGCAGCCAACATGGTGCCCTCAAGGTATTGCCAGACTACAACCCCCAACATCCCTGACCATTGCCCATACTGACTGAAGCTGATGGCAGATGGAGAAACATCTGGGGGGCATGTTGTTGGCTCCCCCCTATACTAAGTGAGCGAGCTGTGTGTGAGCTTTGCTCCATTTTGTGCAAAGGGCAAAACGCCTCCCCCAAGTCATCCCTTTATATGTAAAAGGGGCAGACATTTGTCATGTCTAGTATGTCTCTCTATCATGGCTTTTGTCTGAAAAAAAAATGAAATGTGTTCATTGTCTTTGAGAGGCCTTTCTGAAGTAAAAGAAGACATGCTTGTAGTGGTTACATTTTTTTCAGTGACAGGCTCCAGTGGGCATTGTAGGCTAATATTTCTTTTATTCACTCCAGATCCTGTTTTGGTTTTTTGTGTGACACCTCATTCATTCTTGTCAACCTGTCTGTTATTTAAAGACTGACTTTATGTCTGAGCACACCTGGATGAAGGGGAGGGAGACTGAATTGATACTTGTCACTTGGGGAGACTTTATGATGAAATGTGGCTGGGGACCAGTAAATCAGTCAGACATGTGAAAGCACATTAGCAATACTTGGACAAAGCATCAGCGAAACTGTCCACTTAGTGATAAAAATGTCACTTAGAATAATTTGCTCTTCATGCTGCAGCTGGATAGCACCACAGCTGGAAGGCTCATGTTGCCATTGTAAAATGCTGTGACATAATTATATTGTATAGGTTGAAACAGTTGTGCTACTTGGTGGGAACTCTTGTCCTTTGTTTTTCCCAGGGAGATTTCAGACACTCTGACCAATTCCCTTATTTGTTTGTTTTTATAGAAAGATCCTTCAAGTATAACATTTCAGCTGATGTTCTTGCAGTCTATCAAACTTCAAAGGGGCAGCCTTTCAATCTCCATAGTTATAAAGTGTGATTCTTGGATAGTATAATGATCACAGAAATAATACATTTCAGTAAAATATTGCTCGAATGTCATTGGTCCAATGTTAGTGTTACTTGAATATGTATGGGAGGACACAGTTGGCTCTTGAAACCGAACATCTGTTACGTGGCCAACTGTTATTGGACCATCCCAGTTGGTAGAGCATGAGACTCTTAATCCCAGGGTTGTGGGTTTGAGCCCCATGTTGTTGTTGTTGAAATACATAATCAAAATAAAAACAAGAACAACTCAATAATCCCCCCCTCATTTTGGGCAGAAGATTCCTGTATTGCACAGGGTTGGACTAGATGACCCTCGGGATCCCTTCCAACTCTGCAATTCTATGATTCCAGGCTTCGCTGTGGGTCTTTCCAGATGATTCAGGAGCTTGAGGATTGCAGAGGAAGCAGGAAATGGCCAGGCCAAGTCAAGTCCAATTGGAGAGCAGGCAAGGCCAGGACCTTGGACAGCTCCAAAGCAGCCCTGGTTTGTTCCACCTCTGGCTGGTTAAAACACCCTGGCCTTATTTTGCAATTTGTGAGGCTGGGAATAGGGGCGGGAGGCCAATCCTCTGTGTTGTAGGACAGTAGTGGCCAGGAGGGGCCCAGATAAGATGGTTCTCTATCGGGCCTCCTTGATGGACCTCTGCCCATTAATTACAATGGGACTACGCTGAGTATAACTGACACTGGAGACCATCCCAATACTGTATATCGGGGTGGTGAATCTCATAGCCTGCAGGCCCTTGTTACCTTAGAAAAGCACCATTTCTCTCTCTCTCGTGCAACACCAGCATTGGAAGGGATTAGATTAAAGGTCTGACTAACATCGGTCCTTTAATTTCAGTGCGTCTCCTCCAAATATTACTCAGTTGACTATGACCCTTGGTTTTTCTGTGCCTGTGAGATTCTGAACTTCACAGTTGTGGGCTTAAGCCCCACATTGGGCAAAAAAGATGCCTGCATTGCAGGGGGTTGGACTAGATGACCCTCATGGTCCCTTCCAAATCTGTGATTCTGTGATTCTAAGAGAACTCTATGAAAACTCTCCATAGATAACCGGTGGAGATATCTGGGCTTTTATCATGGCACTGGTGTTTCCACAGCCAAACACAAAACAGCAGTAAAGAGAGGAGGGTTCCTGCTGTTTTTCCTTTCAGATTTTATTTCTTGTGATTTATTATTTACTGACTAGTTTTTTTAAAAATAAAAATGGCCCATTATTTTTGCAGGTATGCAGAGGCAGGAATAGCTTACAGAGTCATGCAACACAGCCTTACGCAATACTCTCCTATTAATATTGCAGAGGGGTAGGAGTGTCGACTGGATCGGCTTTTCAAGTCAAAAATCCCCCATATAGAACACTCCTCAGACTTGAAATCTTGAAAATTGCCCCCTCAGAACCTCCTCCTAGCCCACAGCAGGAAATACTCTGGCTATACTACGAGTTTCTAGATCTTTGTTGAACTGCATGAGTTTCTACTTCTTCGTTGAGTTGCATTAATTGTTTTGATGGATTTGTTGTTCTTGTTTGCTTTATATGCTGTTGTGTTTCATATTATAGTGATTGCAACATGTGTTGCTTTTTAAATGCTACTGTGATTATTGCAAGTGGCTTTGACCTCAACATTTGTTGTTGGTTGAGTGGGATATAAATATTAGCCCAGAAGCGCTTCTCCCCTTCACTGGCCTTAACAATATAATTCACAAGTAAACAGATTAAATAATTAGCATTTGGCTGCCCTTTTGTGACACCCAAAATCAGCTTCTGGAGGCAGACATCTCGCTTCACCTGATATTATGGCCGGCTCTGGAGAGAGTGTTTTGCTTAAGACCTCCTAATGGCAAAATGAGATTGTAGCTCTGTCTTCAGACTTGCCTCCTAGGATGAAGCAAAACGAAGAATTGAGGACAGTAGGACAGTATCCAGGCACGTGAAAATCCCTGTGGCCAGATTCCTCCTCTTCCATGTCACACATCTACTGTGTGAGTAAATGGCTATGCACCCATGTTGAGTGGCGGGTGCCATTGATTTAACCAGAGGGCTTTTAATTAATGTGTAGATTGAAAGAAAGAAATGAAATCCGTATGAAGCTTCACACAGCTGATCAGTTAAGAGTGATCTAATGGCAAAAAAACAGAATATGAAGGACGACTAAAAGGGAGGGAGAAGAGGGGGACATAGGATTTCACTGCACAAACTTCTGTGCTTCAATTATAACCCCCTTAAGGGCCCCTTTGCAAAACTGATGGACAAGGCGGCCGGCTGGGTTGCCAAGAAGCATGGAAACAATTTTATTTTATTTTGTTTTTTTACTTCCTGAGACCAGCTTGATCCTGATCGGTGGAACTTATGTTATCCTTTGTCTATGCACCAATAGTTACTCAGACAACTGCTAGACAGCTGGAGGTACTATTCCTGGCGGTAGTGTATTTGTATTTAAAGAAGTAGTAGTTAACAATCACATAGTGTGTTTAACACTTAGAAACTTTTACTGGGGAAACACAGAATATAGTAGGCATTATATTTTTCCCCCCAGTTCTGCTTCGTTAAACCTAGCTTCACAAGAATACTCGATTTCTTTCATTGTGTGCATGTGTGTTTTATGTCTTTGAAAGAATGGAAAGATACTTTCTAAAACAAGTGTCTCGTTTTATGTTGAAGTAACACCCACCCGTCACATTTACTTATGGATTACATTCCACTAAAATCATGTTACTTGAAATCAGCTTCTTCGTTCATAATTGAGTTTACAACTACTGATACTTTATTAAGCTTATTATTGCTTAAAGCGCAGGCAAATATGATTATTGGCCAAATAGCTTCTGGGTTTCAGTCATTTTTATTTCAGTATATCGATGCATTATCCTAGTAGAATAGGATAATGCATTATTCTAATAGACCGTGTGCAAAGTATGTGAGTAACAACACACCAAGATGTGCTGAGTTTAATCCTCCATTAAATGCAGCTACTGGCTTCGTCTGGTATCAGAGCTGTCGAAGGAGACAGATTGGAGCCTTGCGGGGGGAGGAGAGACAGCGCAGCAGAGTCAGCTGGTCTGCCTGTAATCTTATTGCTGTAGACTTGATCCTTTCTAAAAGCAACTGCCAATGTCTGATCCTGCACTATTATTATTATTACTATTATTATTTGGTAATATTAGGGAATAGTTGGAATGTACCAGACCACAGATGTTACAGGTTTCATAGTGGCATCTGTGATGTATTGAAGTAAATTGAATGTGTGCTTACCGTGTCTTCTGGACTGGAGAAGACAATTCCCAATGGCATAGCATAAGACAGACAATGCTTTTCTGGCCCTTATGGAGGCAAGCAGGAACATATTATTACTATTATTATTATTATTATTATTATTATTTTATTTTCCATTTCTTTCCCACCTTTCCTCCAAGGAGTTCAAAGAGGCTTATGTTTAATCCCCACAACAACCCTTTTAGGTAGGTTAGGCTGAGAGGCAATGAATGAGTGGCCTACGGTCACCCTGTGAGCTTCATGGCAGAATGGGGCTTTGAACCCTCGTCTCCCAAGTCCTAGTCTGACACTCTAACCACAACACCACACCGGCTTTTTATTCTCTAAAACGCTTTCTCATCTGGAACAACCCCTTGACTGTCCAAGGAAAAGCTTAATTTTTTTTGAAATTTTTAGTTTGTGGGGGGGAATGTATTGGCCTGGGGAGGTCCGTGAGTTTATATAATCAAGCTTGCAGTAGTACACCCAAATCCTTTACATGCTGTCCTTGGTTCCCACTTCTAAATGTGGTCCAGTTTAGAGCCAGTTACCTGCTGAATCTCCGGCCAGCCTCACTTAGATTCGCTTTTACTGAGCTGTGTTTTCAAGCTGTGCCCTCTGACATCCTAGACGGAAGATATAACAGGGTACTGTATGAAGACAGACTTTGTATATGTGGGCAACCATAGATGGAAGACATCTTGTACTATTTAGTATATTGCCCACTATACATCGGACCCAGGAGGCGATTTCTCACCTGACCATCAATGCAGGAAAGATGTCTCTCCCCAACAGAGAAGGTCCTAAATGCTTCAGTGACTCATAAAGTCACCCTTTTTGCTTTGGCGGCCACAAAGATCAGAAAGAAGACCCTGGACATGCAGAGATCTAAATACAGTGTTACCTCTGGTTACAGATGCTTCAGGTTACAGACGCTTCAGGTTACAGACTCCGCTAACCCAGAAACAGTACCTCGGGTTAAGAACTTTGCTTCAGGATGAGAACAGAAATCGCACAGCGGCAGCAGGAGGCCCCATTAGCTAAAGTAGTACCTCAGGTTAAGAACAGTTTCAGGTTAAGAACGAACCTCCAGAAAGAATTAAGTTCGTAACCTGAGGTACCACTGTAGAGACCATTATTTGTGGTGTGACACCCCTTTTGCTTGCATTTATTTTTGATTCAGATTTGTCATGGCCAATGGCTAGTACAATAAAGTCATTTGGATTGGATTGGCTTGCAGTGGGAAAAGTAGACAGAGATAATATCTTTCTCAAATGCTAGAACTGGGTTCACTCAATGGAACTGATGGGTGGTAGGCTGGGGCAGGCAAAGTTAGGGTAGAACTAATTGCGGCCTTTGACATGGTTAAGGTGTTTCCACCTGTCCCCATCTGGATGGACAAGGTCTAAGTTGCCAAGCTGATACTTGGCTAACACTGGGTTGTATCTAATGCTAGCCCTAAGCAGTGTGGACCCATTGAAGTGAACAAACCTAAGTTAGTAATGTTCATTAATTTCACTGGTTCTGTTCTGAGCAAGACTAGTTGGGTTTCCACCCATTGTTCTCAGGAATGACATCCATTGGTAGGTACACTCTTACAAGCACCTTCTGAATAAGGAAGGCTTCTGAGGTCCACAGATCTTTGCCTATTTCCACCTAATTACACAGATCAGTTAATCTTCGTACTTGGGATTTTCACAGCCCCAACCTGTTAGCAGAAAGCACCAGGAAAGTGCTTTAAGATTCACAGCAACATTTGACTGGCTGATCTTAGATTAAAACGTGAACAAGAAGATGCCACTTGTCAGTTCACAATGGTTTGATAAGAGAAGAGTTAGGTTGACTAACATCAGTATTCCATCATACTGATTTACTGCTGGGGGATTTCCTGCTTGGTATCAGTTTCAGCTATTTAAAATTACAGATCTTTTGAAAGACAATACTTCTCCATTTCAAGAAATGGCAGGCAGTGGGCCAATTTGGTTTCACTATCTTCAAATTAGAAACGTTACAAGGACTCAGAAATACCAGAATGAACATGGGGAAACCTTTGCGGAAAAGCTCATACTGCCCCCTTTGCCAAGAGGATTAGTAAGTAAATGATATTATTTGATTCTGTCAATGAATAAGAGGAAATTACATTTCAAGCACAAATTGGAATGGGGTTTTGGGAAAAGTATATTTGATGATGAACGGATCTGATTGTGGGATAATATTGCAAAAAAAAAAATTAATGTCACAGTTGAGAGAGCCTTTTCAAAAGCCCAGTTCCGCTGATATCTGTCCCCTGATAGAACTGTCAAAATGATATGAAATTCCTAGTACTATATTCAGAAATTCTGCTCTTGCAGTATTTTAAATGATGTACTTTGGAAGTGAGTGTGTGTTCAGTAACCTCTGCCAGAATTTGTACTGCAGCTGTCCAACACCTGGAGTCCTCCAGCTATTGCTGGACTACAACTCCCATCATCCTTGAGCAACTGGTCATTCTGCCTGGGATTAATAGGAGTTGGAGTCCAACAATAACTGGAGTACACCAGGTAGAGGAAGGCTATGGTACTGTTTGATCATAGAAACAATTGCAGCCACCAACGCCATCTAATTGGTATAAAACCATTTTGGTCACATTTTGCTTATTCCTCACATGCTAAGGAAGGAACAGAAACAGGCAACTACATAAAAAGGGTTTTTTATTTATATCACATTGGAATGAGTATTTCAATGGTGATATTCAATTATTTTCTTTATTTACACTTCTGTATGGTTGCTAATCTTTTTGCATTCTAATTTTAAAAAGTGCTCTGACTGTATTGTTCTTGCACCAGAACCCAAGCCTTCATTGGTTTTACAGACCATTGCTCCCGATGCTGCCAAGCAAGCTAGCTTAAATAAAGTAGTTATTATATGTATTTATAAAGAAGAAAATACGGTGTGTTTTTAAAAAGAGAACATTTTGATTTGATTCCATAGGGTTTTGGTTTTTTATCCAAGGATCTTTAAAAGGCTATTAGTTGATTACTCTTTCCAAAGACCCTACGATGTTGGAAAGAAATAATAATTTTGTAGATCAATGCACAATTATTGCCAATTCCTCTCCCACTCTGTCTGTATTGAAACAGCCATTATGCTGATGTTTTATCGACAGCAGCTTTCCTTACAGCAGTTTCAATTGTGTGTTTTCCTCTAGGAGTTCCTCAGTTTAAAAGGCATACCATAGTTTGCATTGAATGCACTTGACTTGGAAAATATGGTTTCTGCCATATTGGATCTTCTCATACACCTCTTCCCTCTTTTGCAGGTTAGGTAGCCCACTGTTAGAAATTCCTCCTTGCTTCTTTGTCCAGTAAAACTCTCTGTCAGCACCTTAGCAGGCTCTATAGCACAACACATTTCTGTTTTGTATTTTGACATTTTCCCTTTAGTTTGGATTTTTTTTTGCCTGGGAAGAACAGTGTGTTGTAATGCCAAACTGATGGTTATTTTGGCCATTTGTGTGTAAATGCATCCTTATCTATAAGGAAAGGAAATGACATGTCTATGAATGGCAAGTTGCCTGCCTTTGTAATCCTTATGATAGTTTTATCTTATTCATAGCAGTTGGCTTCTACTGCAGTATTGTTGCCATCCTGGACAGCGCATCTATTTAACAGATCATTAAATCCTCATGCTGGTAGTATGATTTAGTGTCCATTCACTGTTACCTTTTTCTTCTGGAGGAGTTAGGTAGATCAGCTCCCATCATGGTCAATGGTAAGAGATGATGGGAGTTGTACTTCAGCAAAACTCCTGAGGTTTCACAGGTTGTAATAATAATAATTTATTATTATTATTATTATTATTATTATTATTATTATTATTATTACCCCACCCATCTGGCTGACAACAGAATATTAAATACACAATAAAACATCAAACATTAAAAACTTCCCTAAACAGGGCTGCCTTCAGATGTCTTCTAAAGTCAGGTCGTTGTTTATTTCCTTAACATCTGATGGGAGAGCGTTCCACGGGGCAGGCGCCACTACCAAGGAGGCCCTCTGCCTGGTTCCCTATAAACTCACTTCTTACAGTGAGGGAACCGCCAGAAGGCCCTTGGAGCTCAGTGTCCGGGCTGAACAATGAGGGTGGAGACGCTCCTTCAGGTATACTGAAATATGTTTGAAAGCACCCAAGAAGGGGCCACATAGCACACAGTCATGTTTCTGTTTGTCCCACACAAGAACTCACTGGACTCCATACTTTTCAACAATTGGACTCAACTCAGAGGAATGTAAGCAGGTGTTGCATGGTCCCTTTCTTAGCCATCATTTTCTGGGCAATTCCAGCCCCATCATCATGCCCAAGTCATTCTAGCAATTGTTCTGTAAAATTGGCTGGACTAAGAGAGAGTGATTGACTTAAAATCACGGTAAGCTTTAAGGGTCTTCAAATCCAGTGCTCTGTCCCATGACATCGAATGCTCACATGCATAATGGTCCCAATTATATCACAAACAAACAAATCAGGAATATTTGTCAATTGAACCATGGATTGTGATTCTGGTTTTGAGAAGAACAAAGTTTCGCAATAGCATCCAGTGACGATAAAAATGAACACACTTTGGTAACTTTTGCTTGCAACACAGTTTATAAATCTGCAAATTAATAGCATAAAAATACAATAAAATAGTTTAAAACAATTTAACGGTAAGATTTTAAAGAAGAGCAGATAAAACCAATAAAAGCTCAATCAACGATGAAACAGCAGAGGCCACAATGATGAGCCATAAATAAAGACAAAATCCAGTTGGCACAATATAAAAGGCCTGTCTAAATTCAGGAAGTCTTCACCTGGTTATCTCAGTTGGCTAGAGTAGTAGTTTTCGACAAGTGTGCTGTGGCACAATGAATGATGGTCAGGGGTGCCATGGGCAACACTGGCCTCTGTCCCTCTTTCCTTTTGGTGCCCTCTCGCATCTCTGCCTCCCAGAGGCTTGCACAGCTGATTGTTGCAGCAGCCCTCCCTACAAGCTCCCCAGGCAAATGGTGCTTCTGGAGCTGGCCAGGGGGTGCTGGTTGCAAGGAGCTGAGGCGCCTGCAGCACCTGCCTGGAGGACTCCCAAGGAGAGAGGAGAGAAGAGGAGGCTGAGGGAACACTCCACAAAGGAGGGTGTTTGAAAAAGGGTGAGAGGCTGCCAGCTCTGCAGGCAAGGGGTGACATAACTGGGCTCCTGAACCCCACAGGGGTGCCACAGAAAGAATGTAGTTGGTCAAGGGAGCCGTGGACTCCAAAAGGTTGAAAACCTGTGGGCTAGAGCATGGTGCCGATAATGCCAAGTTGTAGGTTCCATCCCCATATGGAACATCTACACATTCCTGCATCGCAGGGCATTGGACTAGATGATCCACAGGATCCCTTCCAGCTGTGCAATTCTATGATTCTATGATGGTGGAAGGACAAAAGTAGGACCTAGCCATAAAAAGTGCTTCTCAAGAGGTAGAGATTTGCACACAAAGAATACTAGAAATATATAGGGCAGAGCTATAGCTCAGTGGTAGAGCAGATGTTTTGAAAGCAGAAAGGTCTTGGTTCAATCCCCAGAATCTCCAGGCAGGACTGGGAATCTCCCTTGTCTGAAACACTGAATACCCACAACCAGCCAGCAATGATGGAATAACAGTGTGAGTCTCTATAAGGCAGCGCTCTACATTCCTCTCTTGTAACCCCACCAAACCTGATCTTGTACATGCCTTGTGCATATAATGCTTTCTGGAAACAAAATCACTTCCTAATTGTAATTAGATAGGGATGGAGCTCTTTAAAGTCATGCACTTTGCTGCAATGTGTTTCGGCATTCGGGAAACCAATAAAAATGGCATGCTTTGGAGTTATCCTTTGCTCTAATTCCTGTGTTGCCAGCGATCTTCCATAAGCGTGGAGTAAATAATGCTCTAGGTTGAAAGCTTAAAACTAATGAATGCTGCCGTCCAATTTGTTGGTTCATTTTGTGTGCGTTGGCAGAACTTCAGTTTGTTTAATTTGAAATACTGGCCCACAATGAAGTCATTGTATAAACGATGGTCTTCAAGAATCTGTAAGATTGTTTTTATGTCGCTGCATAGTTCAAATGGCTGTTTCATATCTGTTGATTAGAAATAAAGCCTATCTCAGAGTATATTTTAAACATTTTCTGCAAGGACAAAAAAAATAAACATCAGGGGAAATTCTCTAGTCTAAAAATCCCTTAACTGCTGTTCATAGAATCATAGAATTGTAGAGTTTGAAGGATCCGTGACAGTCATCTAGTCCAACACCTCCTGAGGGAAACGGTTTCACTGCCGAACAGCTCTTACCATCAGAAAGTTCTTCCTGATGTTTAGTCAGAATCTCCTTTCTTGTAACTTGAATCCATTGGTTTGGGTCCTGGCCGCTGGAGCCGAGAAAACAAGCTTGCTTCCTCTTCCATGTGACAGCGCTTTAGACATTTGAAGATATGTCTCCTCTCTGTCTCTTCTCTGGGCTAAACATACCCAGCTCCCTCAACTGTTCCTCATAAGGCTTGGTTTCTAGACCCTTGATCATCTTGGTCACCCTCCTCAGCACATGTTCCAGCTTGTCAATATCCTTCTTAAATTGTGGTGCTCAGAACTGGGCACAGAACTCCAGGTGTTCTCTGGCCAAGACAGAATAGAGTGGTACAATTACTTCTTTTGAAACAGCCTAGAATAGCATTAGATTTATTTTGCTGTTGCATCACCCAGTTCACTCATGTTCAGCTTGTGGTCTACTAAGACCCCTAGATCTTTTTCACATGTACTACCACCACGCGGGTGGCGCTGTGGTCTAAACCACAGAGCCTAGGGCTTGCCGATCGGAAGGTCGGCAGTTCGAATCCCCATGATGGGGTGAGCTCCTGTTGTTCGGTCCCTGCTCCTGCCAACCTAGCAGTTCGAAAGCATGTCAGAGTGCAAATAGATAAATAGGTACCGCTCAGGCGGGAAGGTAAATGGTGTTTCCATGCACTTCTCTGGTCTCGGTGTTCCGTTGCGCCAGAAGCAGCTTAGTCATACTGGCCACATGACCCGGAAAAACTGTCTGTGGGCAAATGTTGGCTCCCTTGGCCAGTAAAGCGAAATGAGCCCCGCAACCCCAGAGTCGTTCGTGACTGGACTTAACTGTCAGGGGTCCTTTACCTTTACCTTTTTACTGGCAATCCAAGTTTCCCTTGTCTTATATATGTGCTGTTGGTTCTTCATGCCTAAGTGTAGAACCTTACAGTTGTCCCTATTGAAATTCATGTTGTTAGTTCTGGCCCAGTTCTCCAATCTGTTCAGGTCATCTTGAATCTCAACTCTTGTCTAACAGCTACCCATACTAGTTTGGTGTCACCTGCAGATTTGATGAGCATTCCCTCAATTCCTTCATCCAAATGGGCTATAAAGACGTTGAACAACAATGGGTTCAGGGCAGAATCCTGCAGCCCCCCACTTGTCACACTTTTTTCCAGGATGAGGAGGAACCATTAGTGAGCACCCTTTCGGTTTGGTCAGTCAACCAGCTACAAATCTACCTGGCAGCTTCTCTGGAATAAGTAGGAGTTGCAGAATATTTGACTTCTTCTTCGCCACTGTGGACAGAAAATGGCAACATTCCCTATTTTCTAGTACTGCTAGCAGAGCTGAGCTTTTCTTAAGAGTAATGTGTGTCCCTGCCCAGAATAGTCACCTTTGCTCAGGCAACTTATACCACACATCTACTATAAAAGCCTGCAAGTCAGCTTGCAAACACTGGTAAGGTAAAGGTAAAGGGACCCCTGACCATTAGGTCCAGTCGTGGCCGACTCTGGGGTTGCGGTGCTTATCTTGCTTTATTGGCTGAGGGAGCCAGCGTACAGCTTCCAGGTCATGTGGCCAGCATGACTGAGCCGCTTCTGGCGAACCAGAGCAGCGCACGGAAACGCCGTTTACCTTCCCGCCGGAGCGGTACCTATTTATCTACTTTGACGTGCTTTCGAACTGCTGTTGAATGGTTTCTTTAAATGTAAAGGTTCATCACTGTTCCACCCGATGTGTATGTCTTTAAGGGGCCAGAGCAAGGGCCAGAGCAAGATAACGAGACCCAGCTTTACAGCTGTGAAACATAGCAGGTGCTGCTGAGTTGTATTGATTAAGCTGTGTTGGCAATTGGGTGTAGTATATAAGGAGCAGCACCTAGCTCTCCCATTACCCTGGGGGATGGGTTGGTGGTTGGGTCATGTTTGTTTGTTGATGCATTTAGTGTATAAGGAGTTTTTGTTTTTGTAATTAAAACCTTGTTTAAGTTATTTTTGAGTCCCTTTTTAATGCATGGTCTCCCCAGCAAGCTCTCTGCAGCGCTACCATACTGCAAATAGCCAACAACTGCTAGGTTGGCAGGAGCAGGGACCGAGCAACGGGAGCTCACCCCGTTACGGGGATTCAAACTGCCAACCTTCTGTCCTAGGCTCTGTGGTTTAACCCACAGTGCCCCCCGCGCCCCCAGTGCAAACACTGGCAGAACACTTTAAATACATATACTTAAAATATCGAGTAGCAGTATATGGAAAAAAACCATGCCATCCATCGACATTTGAAAGCTCAGGACTTTACTATGATACACATGCTATACATTTTTACCTCAGTGCTGTCTAGACGGCAAACTTGGGCCTGGCACGAAACAGTGTTCAGCCATCCAAAATTTATTTAAGCGCATTATACTGGGGGATATTAGGTGGAGAATTCTTTTCTGGTTTGGGGAGACTTGTGTTAAAAGCTGTGACACAGTAATAAAAGCAAAGGGGAGGAGGTGAAAATGTAAATGATCTTTAACTGCTTTTCCACCACCAGAAACAATTGTGCTTGTTTGTGCCAATAGTGGAGAGATACAGAGTAAATTATGGGAATATTTAGAGGTGAGACAAGACTTTCTGTCTGTGAGCGTTGCTTCCCAGCAAAGAAAGGAATCCAGAAATTGAAGTTCCAGATTGTACTGTTTAAATATCTATTGTCCATGAGTGAGGTATAATTTGTCTTGTGAACCAGACAGATTGTCAGTGAGCTGCTACACACAGAAATAGTTTTTCCCCCTTCCCCTAGCCTTAAAATATATTGCAGATGTTTTAAAGCAGGTATTGCAAAACACTTCATTTTGGTATACAATCTGCAGATTATTTCACTGATGAGTGAAATCTGGATGAGTTCTGGTGTGTGTGCATGTGGATCACACAGTGACCCTCTATATGGAGCCTTATCTCTCTCTACATGTGATAAAGATTTTTATCCGAGTCAGTAGCTGCATTGGATTTGAGAATTATTTTTATTTATGCAATTGTGTTTATACATGCTGTTGTTTTATCTGTTTTTCAAAGATGCAATTCTTCAAAATATGGTTTTATTTCATTGTGAAACCATTTCACAATGCTTCATAGGAAGCAATTCATAAATGAAATAGATAACAATGACCATCATTACTATTATTATTTTATTAAACACCTTTTAACCACTATCTCAATGTGATTTATGCGTAATATCATTAAAAGTAGATAGAAACACAAAGGCAAGTGTTGGATTTGTGTATTGACTAAGCCGTCACTAACATATTTTTGAAACTTCTCTGACTGTTTGTTGTCTTTGTTTTTTCCATTCCATTGTTTAAATTGTATTTTTAATATCTATTGTTAGCCAGTCGGAGAGCTTCTGGGCTGAACAGCAGGGTAGAAATTTTCAAAATAAAATAAATACAATCAGCCTGTTTCTCATGCAAGATAACAATCTTTCCTGTTCACTGTTGGAGACGGTAAGCAAGAACAAAGATGGGCTGTTTCCAGTGTGGCTTTTGGTGCACAGCTGTTGCTTAAGAAGATCTACACATCTGGCTGTTTCCTGCAAAGACACACATTTTGGCAAAAATCCACCCAACAGTAAAATAGATCAGCGTGCAACCTTTAAGTGATGTACACACATAAACTTAAATACGGGATTATAAAATGTGTATATGCTGAGTCTTTTAAAGCTATGTCAGAAATATCTTTCAGTTGTATGGCTAGGCAGAGTTTCTCCCTCTTCCAGTGTGACATCTCTTGTTATTACAATAGAAGTAAAAATGCCCTCCTTTTTGAAATCAGCTTTCAGCTGGCTTCGTAGAATAAGATTGATTTGTGGATCCAAATTATTTACTTTTTTAATCTGCAGATAAATTTGGGCCACCGTCGATTTCCATGGGTGCACAAGGCTTAAATATTCAAGTCTTAACCAGAAATTAAACTCGCTCAGGCAGCGCAGGATTGAGTGCATCAGCTTGAAGACTGGCAATTCTCGTTTAATACTTTATCACTCTGCTGCTACCACCTTGGGTAGTGTTTAATAGGGGGAAAAACAAAGTGCATCTGTGTGAGCATTCAGGAGGTTGTCAATTTGGCAGGTGTCTTGACAATGCCAACAGCTGGGTTTCACAAGACAAGCTTAGCTCGGGTATGTGTAGCAAGCTGAGGCTTGTCCTTTCTCTTACCCTGGAGAATGTCAGCAGTTTTCACCAGCAGAGGTTTGGCTAAAGTTACACTGTCCTGTTCTATCATTTCATCGCCACAGCTGCAAAAGAATTTAGGCCTGGTGGTCCCATTTTATTGGGGGAGGATGGGAGGGAGAACCAAGTTTAATTTAACTTCTGTCATGTATGACGTGTCTGTTCTTTCCAGTGCAACATCTGCTCTAATAATTTGTTCACACTCTTATTCCTTTTTTTAAAGGGTTTACAACAGGAATAAATGTTATCTTCCCACCAGTCCACTTTTGATTCCTTTTATCATAGTCCTCATCCCCTGCATACTTCCGCGCAAGAGCTTCCCCCTCCTTAACTTTAATTTTAAACTACTTGGCAGTGCTCAGGGTGGCAGTTTTAAAAGCATTGAAGCCAATGAAATGATCAAGAAGATAAAAAAGGCAAGAGATTTTTGTTATCTGATGCACCCATGAAGGGCAGCTACAGAAGAATTTTCACCGTGGCAGGTCAAATGCCTGCCATAATAATGGTGGTTGTGATGATCAAATGCCTGCCATGATGATGAGAACAACAATAGTCTTCCCCAGGCGACATAAAGCAGAGAGAGCTGAGGCCAAATTCCAGCAGGCAAATTCCAACAGCCTAGATGCAACCACAGAGGAAGCTTCCTCATGTATCCTAGCCAGGTCTTGTTTGGGCCACCATTGGGCCACAACCTCCTCAGCAGATCTTAGGAAGCAGATGTGCTGGCCTGGGAGAAGACAGTCCCACGTGTATCCTAGCCTCAAGCTATTTATTGGGGGGAAATTGTCCAGTAGCACCTTAGAAACCAACTAAGTTTGTTCTGGGTTTTGTGTGCTTGTACAGTGGTACCTCGGGTTAAGTACTTAATTCGTTCCTGAGGTCTGTTCTTAACCTGAAACTGTTCTTAACCTGAAGCACCACTTTAACTAATGGGGCCTCCTGCTGCTGCCGCACCTCTGGAGCACGATTTCTGTTCTCATCCTGAAGCAAAATTCTTAACCCGAGGTACTATTTCTGGGTTAGCGGAGTCTGTAACCTGAAGCGTTTGTAACCTGAAGCATATGTAACCCGAGGTACCACTGTATCTGAAGAAGTGTGCATGCACATGAAAGCTTGTACCCAGAACAAACTTAATTGGTCTCTAAGGCACTACTGGACAATTTTTTATTTATTTCGACTGCGCCAGACCAACATGGCTATCTACCTGAATCTATTTATTGCTGTGCAGGTAATTGCCAACACTCTGAATTGTGCCCAAAGAAAAATTGGCCAAGCAGTGCAGCTTTTAAAAGAAAGGGATAATATACTTACAGCTTCAAGGCTTGTTGAAACGGGAACCAGCATACTTGCAAGGCTCAAGTTGTGTATGGATTGTCTTTGTTTGAAAGGTTATGCATATGCCCAGTGATTTGTGTTTCCCATAAAATTTTGAATAGGGGAATTGTCAGATTTTACTTGTATTTAGCAGACAAAAGCGAAATGCGCCCCAACCGCCAAGCTTGCATAATATTTGGCATGTATTCATTGTTACTAATGAACTTAAGAAGTGTGGCGGGGGGGGGGAGTTCCATGGAAAAATTCTGCCCCGCATCACTGTGTATGTCTTCAGGTCCGCGTATGTGGCCCATGTGTAATTTTAAACCTGTCTGGCATAACTGAGGAGCAGCTTAAGGAGCTGTCTTGTGTTTTGTACAGGAAAACAGCAGGAGCTTGAAGCAGAACACCAGGACATGTATGTCGAAGCAGACCACGACCTTCACCTATCGACAGGCCGATCGGCACAGCCCCCAGCTGAGAAGCCCGGCGAAAGGAGAGGGGCTGAAATGAAGAAACTCTACGGCTTGGGTGCCAGCAAAATCCAAGCTATGGAGACCACCATGCAACTCAACTTTGATAGGAACTGTGATAAAAAGCAACCCAAGTACTGGCCAATTATTCCCCTGAAACTCTAAGGTTTGCATCCTTTTTCCTTTTAGGAATCTCAGGGCTCCATAAATTGATGCTCGACTGAGCAGAAGGATTCAGTGAATGAATCAAGAGTCAGCAAAAGCCCCCTTTCTTATTTTCCTTTCCTCTTTCCAACTCTATTTGAATTTGCCAGTTTCCAGAGCCCATTCCAACCCAACAGGAAGAGCTGAATTAGTCATTTGTACTGTAGGGGATAGGGAAAATACTCTATAAAAATATATTTCAAGTAATTTGATTTTGGCTTGCCCTGGCTCTGCAGGAAATGAGGAGTAGCATTTGTTTTCACTTAGCTGTGCTGGGGAAAAGGTTAGAGACTATCCAGAATTATTATTTTTTTACATTTTTTTAATGTTATCTTAGATTTGCCCTAGATTTTAAATGTGACTTCTTTCCTGTCACTTCCACCAATACCCTGGAGGCAGCTATTGGCCAAGATACAATATATTAAATGACTGTAGTTTAACTATTTGAGGGTTTTTCTCAGATGTTCTACCAGTAGAAGAAAGTTATGTTCGAGACTGAAACCTGGCCTGTGATGTTTCACCTCAGAAGAAAACGTGTGAAGAGCTTTCCCCCACCTCTCCTTTCAGTTTGTTGTTGTTACATGATTAGGTAATAAAGAAGTATGAGATTAAAAGTGTGTTTTCCAGCTCATTCCAAAATTGCATTTCCCTCACCAGAAAGCAGGACAATCTTTAAAGGTCTTGATACTCAGGATGGGCTGGGGGGCGGGATAAATATTTCAAAACTGATTCCTATGCTCAAGGACCACAGTTCAAAAGTCAATCAAGGGCATAGAATCAGAGGGGGGCAAGAATTGGGCCTCTCCACTCTGGCTAGGAGCTCACCAATCTACTCGTCTTTCCAAGCGTTCAAGGGAGCTGAGGTGCAGCTCTGAAGACAATTAAGCCTGTGAACCTGAGATGCTGTCTACCATGCATATGCATGGGCAGATTATTTTATATCCCACCTTTCTACCATGATGAAACCCAAAGCAGCATGTATATGGTTCCCAAGCAGTCTCCCATCCAGGCGTTGACCAAACCCAGACTTCATCTCAGCAATTTGGTGTCTTCAGACCGTATCCTGGGATCAGTCTACTTCCGGTCCATGGCACTTTTGAATCTGTTAATCTCCAAGGCCATTCTAGTACATTTCTACATTGATCTGCATTTTTTTAAGACCGGCCTCTGAAAAATTGCATTGCATGGAACATTCCTAAACACAAAATACGCCTTTTCAAACGAAGTACAGTGGTACCTCAGGTTAAGAACTTAATTAGTTCTGGAGGTCCGTTCTTAACCTGAAACTGTTCTTAACCTGAGGTACCACTTTAGCTAATGGGGATTCCCACTGCCACTGCACAATTTCTGTTCTCATCCTAAAGCAAAGTTCTTAACTTGAGGTACTATTTCTGGGTAAGCGGAGTCTGTAACCTGAAGCGTCTGTAACCTGAGGTACCACTGTACCACGTTGCAAATTTGCAAGGGTTCTAATTCTGGCTTCTAATTTACGTTTTGATTGGCCCATCAATCTGGGAGGTATGTATCAGGTCAGTTCATATCAGAATTTACAAAAAACAAATGCCTCAAGAATCCCTAGCAGTGCGTTTGATTTGGATATATTTGCAGTTCTGTCTCGTGCATGCCAAAAATATGAACACACGCTAAAAGTGTTAACAGATTTCAGACACCCCTCCATAGAAAAGTATTTCTCCAAAACGCATTGTTTGAAATCCAGGCCACAGCCATGTCTTCCAGGACTTGCTAGTGTGTAATTAACTTCAGTAGACATTAGCCTGCCTCCTATTCAACTTGCACCAGTTAACCAACATGTTAGAACACACCCTGGATATTAGTAAACATTTTGTAGGCATGCATTTTTTTGCTAATTTGTGTAATTACTATGCCAGCAAGGATTCTAATAAAAATACATTTGATGTCTCATGACAAATTTTGTTTTGTTTAGTTTTTCTTTCTGGTTTTTTGCATACAGATCCTTTGCATCTTTAATGTAATCCAAATCCAGACTTGTAAACATGTTTGATGTCTGTGGTATTTGGTGTACATGTTTATGGATGACATGATGCAATATGTGTCACAATAATCTCTGCTTCTTTTCCACCACAGTTCACTCCTTTAATTGGGGGAAATAGTATTATTTTCCAATATTTACTCAGCAGCACAAATATCCTTTTTGTTGTTTTTGATATACAGTGGTACCTCGGGTGAAGTACTTAATTCGTTCCGGAGGTCCGTTCTTAACCTGAAACTGTTCTTAACCTGAAGCCCCATTTTAGCTAATGGGGCCTCCCGCTGCCACCACCACGCCGCCAGAGCACGATTTCTGTTCTCATCCTGAAGCAAAGTTCTTAACCTGAAGCACTATTTCTGGGTTAGCGGAGTCTGTAACCTGAAGAGTATGTAACCTGAAGCGTTTGTAACCCAGGTACCACTGTATTTATTTCTGCAGACATGCACATTTCACACACTTGTTGTGTATCACCTTATTTATCTATTCTTCTGAAGCATAATAGTCACTTAGATCACTATTGTAAGAAGCTATTTTAAGTTGCCCTGGGCAAGATCAAGCAACTAACCAATTTAATAATTAATAATAATCAGTGCTTTTTTCTAGAAAAAGAAGTGCCAGAACTCACCATGAACGCCTCTCTTGTTCTCTTAGGATGGCAATGGCGCCCACCTGAGAGGTGCCGGAACTGAGTTCCAGTGAGTTGCCCCTGAAAAAAAGCCTGGCAATAATAATATTTAGATGTGACAAAAAGCACACCTTCATCAATTCAAATTAACCACCATATTAGAAAAAGCATACCAAGTCCCCTAAGGATCAGGGTTTTCCATATTATTCTTTGACTGAACTAGAATTCTACAAATGCAGCATTTTTGGCGGGGCCACCGCTTTGTTTTAATAGAACCAAGAAATTCCAGAATTTTTTATTTTGAAGTGGGAGGGAAGACAGTTCAATATTAAATTAAAATCACTAGGGATCCTAACAACTGATAAGACATTGGTTGTTAATACAGAATGGTAGGGGAACTTGGAAACTCAGTGTTCAGGGCTCAGTCTCACAGTGGTACCTCGGGTTACATACGCTTCAGGTTACAGACTCCGCTAACCCACAAATAGTACCTCGGGTTAAGAACTTTGCTTCAGGGTGAGAACAGAAATTGTGCTCTGGCGGTGCAGCGGCAGCAGGAGGCCCCATTAGCTAAAGTGGTGCTTCAGGTTAAGAACAGTTTCAGGTTAAGTACAGACCTCTGGAACGATTTAAGTACTTAACCCGAGGTACCACTGTAGTTCAGTTTGACGGCTTCCTCCGTACCCTAGCTCTGCTCTCCAGGCACAGCAAACTTAAAGTGGACTGTGCTTCTCCTTTATCAGTTCTCCTTGACTACAACAGCAGTCTTTTCTTTCTTCCTTTCTCTTGCCTGTTCATGGTGGTTGAGGTCAAATCTCCTTGGCCTCAACTCCTGAGGGAGTTTCTCTACCCAAGTTTAGCTCTTACATACAGGAATGCAATCCAGTATTTCTGACTTTTGACATCAATACGAACCATGCATAGAGTTGAGAGGAGGGGCATATTGAGATCTTGGCAACATCAAGGGTCATTCTGCTCATTCTGCTAGCTGAAAGGAACAAGCTGCCACCGCCATTCCATATATAGAAGAGGATTGGACCAGCAGCTGAATCAACTTCAATGCTGCCAATGGAACATCATCAAGCAGCATACTTGTGGGCAGTAGGGTAGCTCATGGGTGCAGGATAGGCTGGGTGAACCACACAGCTCTATCCAATATCTAATTCCTGCTCACCACTCTGCCAGCTGCTCACTGCCTGTTCAAGTGCTGCAATGCAGCCACCGGGGTTACTCCTGCATACATTGCATGGGTGGTGCCTGATGGAATGGTGTGGCCTCAGCTGGCTGCTTGCTTACTCGGGACTTTCCCAACGGCCTTATTGCCAACTCAGACCAGCAGCAAGCAAGCAAGGAATGCTGCTTGAGTTTCAGCTCAAGAGGGCAAGAACAGCAGGGAGGGAAGAGCCAAGAGAAGATTTGGTGTCTCCTGCCTGAGCTGGCCATCTCAGTCTGCCTAATGATAGAACCAGCCTTGTTTCCCACTTAGGCAAGAAAGACCTCGTTCAATCCATTGTTTATCTTGGATTTGGGGTGAATAAAACTTGCTTCCCCAAACCTACAACATCTTCCTTCTGCCACGGCTTTTGCCAGCGACAGATTTATTTGTTTATTTGCAATTTCAATGCACAACAGGTATTCCAGCCTAAAAGAATTGTTCATCCTGCTCCAAAAAATCTTCAGATTAACATCTATATTCATATTCCTCAGCATTGAGGAGTATTCTCAAAAGGAGCCGGTTCCCTTGGAATTGGTTGAGAATTTTTATTTTTTGCAGTTTCTCTTTATTTCTCTTATCTACTGTCAGAGCAGCTACATTTTTGAAGTCGTTACCTCTTGTTTGGGTGCTGGAAGTCAAAACTGAACTTGTGATTTGATGGCAGTCCCCCATTAACAATGGTCTTTATAAGCATTGTCTGATGAATTCGCTGCAGGATCCAGTCACAAGAACAGCTGCATTGTTAGCAGGGAAAGTTGTGTCTGCATCATCATCTTTGGTCCCAGCAAAGGAAATGCAAATAATTAGTGGAAGAAGCGTCTGGCAATGTTTTAATGTTCCATCGTGAAATTCTCTCACAACTCACCTCCGTTCAGCATAAGCTCATTTCTTCTGACTGCAGAACATCTGCCACAGAAAACTTCTAAATAATTAGTTTCTAAAGAAAAGAAAAAAAACTCAGATGATGTACTGAAGCTGTCCTGGGGGAAAGGTACTCTATCTTAGTTGTCCAAAGCAATTAAATCTTATTAGAAAGAGAGGGACACAATAGCAGCAATTTTCTCCTGTTATCGCTGTTTTAGACAATTGAATAGTTTTATGGCATGCAAATGTAGCAAAATCAGTTCTTTACACAAGAACACCATTGTTAATTCTTCAATACTTCATTGATGCTGGGTAGAATTAAGCAAAATCATAGGCCAAAACGTGCATTGCAAAACTGCCCATCTTCAGTTAAATGGAACAATCTGAATGGATCCAGAAGGCATGATTTAATCAGAAATGCTGTAATATCCCACGTATGTAATTTTGCAGTGATGAAAAGCAGCTTTGCAACCCAGTATGTATGAAATCACTAATGCAACACAGATTTGACTTGTAAAATTAGCTGACATCACACCATGTTTTTCAAAATCTGACATTACATCAAGTGGGCTTGAAGATGAAGTCTCCAAGGAATAAATTAGTGTCAAATAAGGCTGCGTTTTTAGCATACAGTGGGTTAGCTAGGTTATAGTAGCACAACACACAGAAAGCCAGCATAAAACAACAGGATAAGTTAAGATGATAGCTTGTTGGGAGAAATGTAGGTTCTTTTGAGGCAAAAAAGGAAAAGCCCTCTAAAATGTCAAAAGCTTGCTGGTTTTGAATTTCCACAAATGAATTAATTCATTTAATTAATTACTTTCTTCATTTACTCTCTGGTGAACAATATTTGTTACTAGTATAGCAACAATATTCAGAGAAAATAGCTTTTGTTCATAGCACTGCACTCAGTCAGAACAAACCAAGAATGGTTTAAATTTAAATGCCTGGGTGCTGAACTGACCATAGAGAAGGTGTTAGGGGAGCCTCTGTGGAGAAGCTGTTCAATAGCTGAGATCCCAGCACTGGAAAAGTCTTCTCCTTTGTGGACATCCACCTGACTTCATTTGGTGAGGTTACCCAAGCAGGCTTCCAAAGAGGACCTTAAGGTTTGGGTAAAAACACAAGCAGAGCTCTTCTGGGTCAGGCCAAAGCCTCATCTAGTCCCACATTCTATTTACACACAACCAACCAGATACTTATGGGAAGCTGACAGGCAGGAACAGGACACAAGCACAAAAACATAAGCAGAAGATGACAGACTTTCTTCAGCAGTCTGTCACTTGTTCACTTCTTGAATCTTAATTCACTCTCTTCACTGGACTCATAGACACATGATAAAGACTGCATGCCCTCCAACATTTCTCCAATGAAAACACGGATGTATTACAGTGGTACCTCGGGTTAAGTACTTAATTTGTTCTGGAGGTCCGTTCTTAACCTGAAACTGTTCTTAACCTGAAGCACCACTTTAACTAATGGGGCCTCCTGCTGCTGCCGCTCCGCAATTTCTGTTCTCATCCTGAAGCAAAGTTCTTAACCCGAGGTACTATTTCTGGGTTAGCAGAGTCTGTAACCTGAAGCGTATATAACCTGAAGCGTATGTAACCCGAGGTACCACTGTATTATTATTATTATTATTATTATTATTATTATTCCCCACCCATCTGACTGGGTTGCCCTAGCCACTCTGGGCAGCTTCCAACATATATAAAAACATAATAAAACATTAAACATTTAAAAAAACCCATTTCCCTACACAGAGATGTCTTCTAATGGTTGTATAGTTACTTATCTCTTTAGCTTGCATAACTCCATAGCCTCCAACATTCCTCTGATGAAAATAGGGACGCCCTGAGGAAAAGTGAGACATTCCGGGATCAAATCAGAAACTAATATGGCTTCTGTAAATCCAGGACTGTCCTTGGAAAATAGGGACACTTGAAGGGGCTGCATAGTCCAAGGCTCAGCAAGATGGGCCTTTCAAACATCCACCCTTTCTGTGCAACTGCTCAAACCTCTGGTGCCATTATTATTTTCTGTTGAAGGCAATATGCCTCTGAATACCACTTAGTGTGAATTGCGTGTGTGGGCAGTACTTTTGTACTCGGCACCTGCATGTGGGCAATATTAATCTCGTTAACCACTGTGAACAGGGTTTGCCATATTCCGAAAAGTGAAAATCTGGACAGAGTTTTTTC